AAAAGAACGTCAGTGATGGAGTTTACTCTCAATCAATCCCAAGTTTACCAACAGTCAGTTTAATTTGTGTAAGCAAAGATTTCTTTAAGCACTTAATCCTCTGTCTTCATTTAATGGATCGCTTTTTTTTTTTTTTTAAGATATATTTATTTTGAGAGAGTGCGCTCGCTGGGGCAGAGGTAGTGGGAGAGAGAATTTCAAGTGGACTACACATGCTGAGTGTGGAATACTAATGTGGGGCTTGGTCCCACGACCCTGAGATCATGACCTGAGCTAAAATCAAGAGTTGGATAGATACTTAACCGTCTGGAGCCACCCAGGTGCTCCTGATGGATTGTTTTAAGTAAATTTCAAATTCCAGCTGACTGAAAACTGAGGCCCGGAGGGCAAGCGTAGTCCAAAAGAGTCTCCGTTGGCTCTTGAACACAACCTACATTGTGGGTTTTATGGAGCCAAACTTTATTTTCAATTTAAGTAAAAATCCATATCCAGTGTATTTGTTCCTTCGTATTTTCCTTTTTTGGGGAAATTCAGCCTGCTTTTTGTGAAGACCCGTTACGCTAATGCATTTGTGTCTGTGGGCAAATTGGGTTGAACCCTGACAGTGTAGCCTGCTTTCACTTTATGTTTGCCAGTTTTTGGTTCAGTTAGAGAAGGTAGTGATCTCTCGCTCTTTTTTTTTTTTTTTTTTAAGATTTTTTAAATTTATTTGAGAGAGAGAGAGTACAGAGGGAGAGTGTGAGGAAGGAGCAGGCTCCCTGCTGAGCAGAGAGCCCGATGCAGGACTCGATCCCGGGACCCTGGGATCATGACCTGAGCCAAAGGCAGATGCTTACCTGACTGAGCCACCCAGGTTCCCCGAGAAGTAGTGATCTGTTGCTGTGGAAGTAGGAGCAAGAATGGGCTCAATAATTTTCTAACTCGTCCATAAATCAAGTCTTTCTTCTGTAGAATAATTATTTTGCCAGGTTTCAAGTTGTCTGTATATTAAAGGCACAAGCTTTCCAAATTAAAATACGCATCTGTTCTCTGTAAGAGTGGCCACCTGCGGGGTGAGTGTGTTTGATAACGTGCCTGCTCTTTGGAGCCTTCCCCTTCCACCCTCGCCTTTAAATTACAGGCCTTTTCACATATGAATTCTCTTCAGTGAAGCTTTGGCCTCTGTCGTCCCCGCCCCCCCCCCCCCCCTTTTTGGTCCATTTCAAAGTAAATGAGAATACAGACAGAAGTACTGTTTGATAGAAAAAAATACGTGCAGGTGTGCCTGACTTCTTTTTGGGTTGCTTGTTCATTCTGCTTATCCTCTTGATGTGTTTTATGCTTGAGGCAATGTTTATCATGTAAAAGTTGGTTAAAGGTGATTTGTTGAAGCATTTTAAAATAAAGGTAGGTGAAAACGTTGGGCATTAGATGTTTCAGTCTTAGTTTTTTCATTTAGATGTTCTGATATTTAAAGCTGCAGTAGAATTTCCTAGCACCTCCTTTTGGGATTCCATGGATCCCATCCATGTTCAGGAAGGGAGAGGAGCAGCAGTGTTTTCCATCAATAACCTGCGAGTTCCATTTGGGCAAGACTGTTGAAGCTGCCAATTTATTAACTCTGCCTCTCAGTCCTAACTCATCTGCTCTGGTTGATTTGGTCTTTTAAACTTCATTTCTTTGGATGTGACCAGACTATGCATAGGTGGCAAATTTTACCTTCAATGTTTTGTTGCTAGTTGTACTGACTACACTAAACGGATCTTTGTTTTAATATGTAGAACTAAAAGAGAGGTGGTCTACTATTATCTTCCTATAGGGAAGTATGAACTAGCACCTCTTTCAGATCCTGTAATCCTGATTTGCTTACATCTTTGAATTGATGTGGAATCTCAGGGTAGAGGTTGGGAATGTATGAGGGATGTGGTGTATTATTGATGCTCCCTTGGGAACAACACTACTCATGCTAGAGCCACAGCGGCTGCCTAACCTCTGGCTAAACTGATAGGATGGAGGGGTTTTTTAATGTAATTTTTTTGTTTTTACTAAACAACTATACCATTTGGGGAAAAACAAAAAGGGATATTTTAAGCAAAGTTTTGATGCTTAAGGATTGAAGTTGGATGTGTGCCATCACTAGAATGTTTACATGGAAAAAGTCCTAAATTTTAAACCTAGCTTTTTGGGAAAAAAGTTTGGTTTGGACTTGCTTGGTTTCTAGGTTGCAATGACAGCTTTTTGATAAAGTGTCTTTATGGACACAGACTAGAAACTTACTAAATGCAACAGTATTTGAATTCCAACAACATAGTTGCAGTTGTCTTGAGTTAGATATTGTGATTTATTTTTAAGGTTACTAGATGGTAGTTAAAGCTTGTAGAAAATAAATTTGAGGTCTCTTCACTGTCTTGACACTATCTGGCATTTTTATCAAAGTGGAGATAAGGCTGTTGGTCCTCAAATGGCTGCTGCTGTTGAAATGAATGGCTTTTTAAAAACATGGCCTCAGGAATGGCCACACCTTTTTTGGAATTGCTTTACTTTTGTAAGGGTAAAATAAAGCCAAATTGTTTGACTGTACCTTGGCTGTGATCATTTTCAGTTTGCCCCACTGGAGTGCATACTCCAAAAGTTAAATTATACCAGTCCCTATTTCTTCATTTCTTTGCACTGATTCTCTCGCCTTCCTGTTTTGTGCAAAGTGCTGGTTTGGTTCTCTTTAACATTCCAAGAAAAGACAAGGGGAGGTGACTTTGAACACTTGGCCTTCTTGTTGTCAACTGCTATGCAAATACATTACTAATAAGTTTGCCCTTCAAATCGTTAATTTTTATTTTAAAAAGTTACTTTATCTTCTATTTAAATCTTTCTTTGCTATTATTTTAAAATCCTTATAATTTGAATATCCTTTGAGCAAAGGAATTAGCATAGGCAGGACTTGTTGAGGCCAGGAAGAGGTTTACTTTTACCCTTGTACTGTTAAACCAAACTTGATCACAGAATTGGAGAAGGCTTTACTATCATAAAAATAATCCTTTAAAAAAAAAAAAAAGGATATTCCTGAGGACAAAAGCACTTTGACTGGAGAGCCTGCTTAAGAGATTGTTTTCTCCAATTTTAAATTCCTGTTCTCCTTGTGCCATCTTCAAGTTCAGCAGCCATTTTGGTGGTTGTCTTCCTGATGGGTTCTAACATCTGGTCATGGTGGTCATGAATTGGCAATCCAAACCTTGAGGAAAATCTGCGGAATCTTTTGAAATGCTTTGTTTTCTGTCCCCCTTTGTGTAGTTCAGAATCACGTGAGTCTTCTGAGCTTGTTTAGTTGCAAACTGAGCTCTCAGTTTTTCATTTATCTGTGTCTTTCAATGGGAAGGTTGAGAAAGCAGGAAGAATAAAGCTTGGCTTAATTCACTGAAGAGAATCCAGATGCTCTGGTTCATGATGGGATACTCGAACATCCTACTTCTGACAATTCTGGAGCCTAGTGCCATGTGCAGGACCAGCTACAGATTTTGTGGGGCCCCGTGCAAAATGGAAACAGGAGGCCTCTTGTTAAAATATTAAGAATTTCAAGATTAACATCAGAGCATTAAACTAAGCGCGCGGCCCTCCTGAGTGCAGGGCCTTGTGCGATTGCGCAGGTTGCACCTATGTGGCCGGCCACACCGTGTATGTGCCTTTGAGCATATACACACTTGCACGTCCTTGTACTTAGCATTTGAGCTCAGTTCAGTGGCATTGCAGCTTGTGCGCTGTTTACCTGCTTTCACCTGTGAGAGTGTATTATGTAAAACTGTTTGCCTCCCTTCCCCAAAAAAGTGAAGCACGCAGACTTCTTTCCTATAGATTTGGATTGCCTCTAGTCATGAGTGAGTATTCCAGACAGGGAAATTGATATGGAAATCTGTGGAAATAGTTTGTTTGTGGTGGGAGGAAAATCAAGGACATAATTGTTAACGAGTCTCACCTACTTTTACTGCACACCTGTAATGCCTAGTTTTGGTGGTTTAGAGAATATGGAGTGTTTCTGGGCTTTCTTATAAGGCAGAGGCTCCATACAAGGTTGCTGATGATTGTTCTAAATTCCCATTGTTTTCTTGGCTTTTCTCCCTTGGTTTATGTGTCGTCTGGAAACTGATTTGTAGTTGGTGAGGTAACATACGTGGAGCTCTTAATGGACGCTGAAGGAAAGTCAAGGGTAAGTGTCTGAGAGAATTTCTTCTGTGGATTTACTACTTGAAAAATGTAACTGTATGGTGGCGTGGAATCGAATGAAATCAGGAAGGCAGTGAGTGCTCATGTTATAGTAGCTATGTTTGATTTTGCCAAACATTTGAGTGGGGTGGGAGGGGATTTGCAAACGGGAGTCCCGCTTTTCCAAATGGCTGGCCAAAGAGCTTTTTGGTATTCTGTTTGGATGCCCAATTTGGATAACTGGGGACCAATAGCAGCATTGTCTCTTTGTTAACAGAGGAATTGGCTGTGTGTGAATTATGCATGGAATTTTAGCGGTGGTATATTAATGTAAAACGTGTGTTCTTGTCTAGAAAATGTTACTCTTGGTCGTTTGCTGAATTTGAAAGTTGTGTGAACCAAAGATTCCGCAAAGTTGCCTTTGTGCCAGTAAATTGTAAAACAAATATTAAAACCTGAACGTTTAAAATTGGCCTAGTTTAAAGAGAAAATAAATTATTTTGTTGTGCAATAGAATGGCTTAGAATAATCAAAGGATGAGCTTTAATTTATGGAAGGGATGGATTTAGGAGGAGTATGATAAGGAATTGACTTGAGTACAGAGAGAAGCAGATCTAAAGTTTGTGTGATTTCTTGGAGAACCTGAATTTAGGTCTGCTTATTATAACTTCAGTAACTATAGTGCAATGCTGGAAATGCGCAGGCAGAGGAGATAATAAGGAGCCCAGCTTTTAATAAGGAAGGCTAGGCAAGACATTCCTGTGAGCTTCCCCTTAGAAGGGTTAATTTAAAAACTAACTTTGTTACATAAATCATATTTGTAATTTATATAACTGTCATTGATATTTACTATGTTTTTCTTTTCTTTTTTCCCCCTTTCCTTGCTCTTCTGACTGGTCTGTGGCTTCCTTCAAAGGGATGTGCGTAAGTATTGTCTAGTTACTTATTGGCAATTGAGCCTTCTAAATTGTAGGACTGGTTTCACTCATCTCCTTTTGACTCTTCATAGCGTTGTTGAATTCAAGATGGAAGAAAGCATGAAAAAAGCTGCCGAAGTTCTAAACAAGCATAGTCTGAGTGGAAGACCACTGAAAGTCAAAGAAGTAAGCTCTTGAAACAATGTGGATACCATTTATAATTGTCGAGTTGTCCCTGTTTGGAATTAGGAAAAGACAGATATAGTCCTTGGCTACATTTTACGGAGCAGACCAACCTGTTGTTTGGTTGAAGAGGGTCGGTCACAGGCTTCAGTAGTCACTTCTGTAAGAACTTTGGAATAGTGGCTGAGCACATCCTGAGCAACTGCTGACTGCCTTCCTAACATCTGTGATTTGTCTTAGAGCAGCCTGCCTTGTTTTTTTCAGGGGTACTCAGACCGAACCCATGGGGTGTGCGCATGTGTGTTAAGGGAATCCACGCCTACAGTCTTACCCATCCTGAACCCTATTCTTAGCCCACCTTTTTTCTTTTATAAAGTGAATTTATCATTAATCTACTTTCAAATCTAATCCAAACCAGATATCTTTTCTCCCTTGAGGAAGAGGGAAGTTTTTGTTGATTAGACTTCTCCCTGACTTATTTTGACTTCTTAGAGGAAGATCAATATATTCAGAACTCAGGAGAGCATGGTAGGGTTTAAGGTTTCTGTGTGTTGAAGAGACACATGAAAGGGCAAAGAGTTCAAGACTAGTGTCAATGCCAGAGTTTCACAAACCTCTCCAGACCTTAACACGAGTCAAACGCCTGAATAACGTGAAGGACCGGAGTACCTCGGTGATCTAGAACTGCGTTTTCAAACTTTCGGAAAAAATCACTGATGGGGTTATCAGAAATTACAAAACCCCATTGAAAATTAGTGAGATTCAACTATACCAAGCCTGTGAAGATCTTATTTCCGTCTGGAAGTGTTCTATGTTATATCAACTAATTCTGTCATCAACCCCCCCCCTTTTTTTTTTAGTTGAGAGCTAAATTTTACGCTGTTTCTTTCTTCCTCATTCCTTTGGCTGGAATTCTTCCTAGCCTGATGGTTGCGTTCATTTGAATTTCTTGTTATAGATTTCGAGACATGCTTTCCAAACAACCTCTCAATCTCTGGAGTTTTGGGAATATCACTTTTTGTGAGATCATGGTTTTAGTTGTCACTGGGTCAGTTAAATGTAACACTTCTGTGCTTGTTTTAGGATCCTGATGGTGAACATGCCAGGAGAGCAATGCAAAAGGTGATGGCTACGACCGGTGGGATGGGTATGGGACCAGGTGGCCCAGGAATGATTAATATCCCACCCAGTATCCTAAATAATCCTAACATCCCAAATGAGATTATCCATGCATTACAGGCTGGAAGACTTGGAAGCACAGTATTTGTAGCAAATGTAAGTAAGCGGAAACATTGTCTAAAGTAGAAAATCAGAACTTTATGAAATAGTCTTGTTAATATGTCATAAAAGTAATTCTGATGTTTGAGAAGAAAAAATTTTAAAAAGAGGGTTATGCTTGGGGCTCCTGGGTGGTTCAGTTGGTTAAGCATCTGACTTTTGATTTTGGCTCAGGTCATGATCTCCGGGTCCTGGGATCAAGCCCCGTGTCGGGCTCCCTGCTTAGCGGGGAGTCTGCTTTTCCCTCTCCCCCTCTCTCTCCCCCTTTGTGCTCTCCCTCCCCCCCACTCTCTTAAATAAATAAATAAAATAAAATAAAATAAAAGGTTATGTTCTCTTCTTGATCTGTTTAAAAAAATAACTTTGGGCACCTGGGTGGCTCAGATGGTTAAGCGTCTGCTTTCGGCTCAGGTCATGATCCCATGGTCCTGGGACCGAGTCCCACATCAGGCTCCCTGCTCCTTGGGAGCCTGCTTCTCCCTCTGCCTATCTCTCTCTGTCTCTCATGAATAAATAAATAAAATCTTAAAAAAAAAAAAATAAAAAAAAAAATAACTTTGAAGTTGGACTTTGTTCCATGGTGACCACTGCAATGATAAATCATAGGCCTGACCATAGTCTTATGGGGACCACATTTACTGACTTTGCTGGTTACAGAAGTGGCAGCTGAGTCTGCATTCCCTGTGGGTTTATTTAGGTGCAGGTCAAAAAAGTCTATGAACAGGGCTGACATTGCCCTCCATCTTGTTGTGTCTGGGATGAAAGATAATACCCTTGCCATTTGCAAGGGGAGATATTTTTAAAGGAAAGTGAGTTGGGGAGGATGATGGTAAACCAAGGAACAAAAAGTTTTGTTTTTTTTTTTAATGTTCACAAAGAAAGCATTAATTTGAAATGTATGAGGTGACTTAACCTGTTGTTTCAGAGAAAAGAATGAATAGCAGTTAAGGCCAGGCTTTGTAATCCTATCTGAAAAATTCTGCAGGTGATAAATTTTTGTGACATATTTATTTATTTATATTTTATTTATTTGCAAGAGCGTGATTGGGGGAAGGGAGGGACAGAAAGAAGCAGACTCCCCGCTGAGCAGAGAGCCTTACGAGGGCCTTAGATCCCAGGATTCTGAGACCATGACCTGAGTGGAAGGCAGATGCTTAACTGAGCCACTGAGGCACCCCTATTTATTTATTTATATTTATTATATATTATTATTTTTTTAGATTTTTATTTTTATTAACTACACTCTACACCCAGCATGGGGCTTGAACTCACCACCCCAAGATTAAGAGCTGCATGCTCTGTTGACTGAGCCTGCTGGGTGCCTAGTACAATAAAAATAACCTGACGTTATTTTTAAATGTTTGTTTCCAACCAAAGCATATTGCACTCATATAGTGAAAATGTTTTTTATAAAGATGTCTGCATTGAGATTTTTCTCTACTTTCTCTTGATTAGCTGGATTATAAAGTTGGCTGGAAGAAACTGAAGGAAGTTTTTAGTATGGCTGGTGTGGTGGTCCGAGCAGACATTCTTGAGGATAAAGATGGAAAAAGTCGTGGAATAGGCACTGTTACTTTTGAACAGTCCATTGAAGCTGTGCAAGCTATATGTATCCTTTTATCAGAATTCAACTCTTGGTGAACAATTTGGCCTAAATGTTGTATTAATAATACAGGTTTTTTGGGGGAAGTGGTAATTTTGTGTGTTAATATTTCCTAAATGACTGGAGGGAATGTGTTATTGTGGAGTTTAAAAGTTGGTTCTCTGTGATGGAATTGATTCAGTGGCTGCATAGAGAGAGAAGAGGCATACGCCCATGCGTGGTCTTTTCCAGCCTTCTCTCTCAGAGAAGTTTGGTCTGAAGGGAGAAGTCTGTAAAGAATGTGCTTCTGGAGAGAAAATCCATTGTTATTTCATATATAATCTTTGGCCCTATTTCTCCAATGGGTTGACCTCATTCTAGAATAAGCACTTCTCTCTGACCGTAGAGTAGTATCTTTGTAGTCACAGTGGAGAATGCCACACATGAACACGGTGACTAAACTCAGATAAGGCTGTTACTGTGCCTCTTATGCAGAAAACATAGTACTTCAAAAAATGGTGGGATACCTGGCCCAATGGACTCCTACAGAAAACTCATGCCAGTACTTAGGAGGATGGTCTGGTGAGAAGTTAGGGTTATACGAAGCTCTACACCTGAGGAATAAGCTGACATTTACTCCCCTGCCTACCCTTGAGTTCTATTGTTGCTTTTATGCTTATTGTAGAAACAAATATTTTAAAAGTAGAATGAAAAATCAAAATGGTTCATAAGTTCACTAGGGGCCCTGGTAGTAGTTGGAGTATTTTTCTTCTGTATTTCTCTCCTGCTGTGCGTGTTTTTAGAATTGCAAGAAATAACCTTAATTGTAATATCAGCTATGTTTAATGGTCAACTGCTATTTGATAGACCAATGCATGTGAAAATGGTAAGTTAATAGGATCTCTTTCTGCATAATATATTCAAATAAGTCTGGCAAAAACATAGGATTATTAAAAGTATACTTTTAATAGGCACTCTATTATATTTATGGATCAGTCTACATTAAATGGGGTGTAGTATGTTGAGCAAATTTATGACAGAAACAACTTTTTGCTCACATGTGCAGCTCTTCAGATATTTATCCTTTACGCAGTTGCCTCTTTCTGGCATGGTCTGGTGGTCAGTTGAGTATCCTGCTTTAAGCAAATGATCAGTTTCAAAGATGGTTATATACATGGGTTTCCACTTTTCATAGTATTGCATTAGAATGTTTAGCCAGTGTCATATCTGTTGTGAACATGCGAAGTCTGATTCAGACAGCCTTTAAACTTCTTCTGAAGCACTTCAGTGATGAACTTTAGCCCTGCTGTGGCTCTGCCATGGGTAATAATGAATTAATACAAGCATGACTGTAACATGCTGAGGACAATCTAGGTAGGGCTCAGATTCGCAAAGAAAATAAAAGGAACTGTAAAAGGGGGTATCATAGTTACCTTAAACATTCAGTTCGTTTTTTTGAGTAGATAATTGCTTACGTGACTTAAAAGTCAAAAAGCATGAAAAAGATACAGTGTGAGAGTCTTGCCCTTACTTCATATCCAGGTCCCATTCATTCCCCATAGCAACATGGATGTATATTTTTATCCTTCCCTCCTTTACACAAAAGGTGTTTCTCCGTAATTTTTTTTTACACTTGTGTGTTATTCCGTGGCATAGGTGGGTCGTAATTTTCTAGCCAGTCCTCCGTTGGGAGTTGTTTCCATCTTTTGCTGTTGCAAAGCTGCGCTTCAAGGAAAGAATACTGAGATGTAGTCACTTTCTTTTTCAGGATGAAAGGGCCTTACCAAAGGGAGATTTTTTCCCTCCTGAGCGTCCACAGCAACTTCCCCGTGAGTATTCTCAATTTGGCTTAGGTTTTGAATTTGATCAGTACTAACCAGAAAGGGACACCTGGGTGGCTCATTCGCTCGAGCCTTGCTTTTGGCTCAGGTCATGGTCCCAGGGTCCTGGGATCGAGCCCCGCATCCGGCTCCCTGCTCTGCGGGGAGCCTGCTTCTCCCTCTCTTCCCTGCTTGTGCTCTCTTTCGCTCTCTCTCAAATAAATAAAATCTTAAAAAAAAAAAAAAATCTAACCAGAAAACTACACTTACCCTTGAGCTTGTGCTATGTTATTCTGCAGTTCCCTTGATCGTTCTTAAGGGAAAGCTTCAGAAAGGGTTTGGTCTTTGTTTGTTTTTCTATAGATTTTTCAGGGTGAAAAATGAACAGAGATTCACAACTTAGGAGAGGTTGTTAGGATTACTTTGCGGTGAGGCAGACTACATGCTAGAGGATGTAGTTGGGCGTTTTGAAAGTATCCTGTGGAAGGAAGAACCAGAAACTGCAAAGGAAATTAAAACCAGGTTGCACTTGGGTTCAGAAGAGATTGGTTAGTACTGTATGGCCCAACAGTGCCACTCTTAGGTATACCGCAAAGACCTGAAAACAACGTCCACAGAGAAACTTACATACGGATGTTCCTAGTAGCATGATTTCAGTTGATAAATGAATAAATGTGGTAAATTTATAGAATGGGGTATTACTCATATAAAGGGACGAAGTACTGATAATTGCCACAGCATGGATGAACCTTGATTCCATCTGTAGGTAATGTCCAGAGTAGGTGAATCCCGTAGACAGAAAGTAGATTAGTGGTTGCTTGGGGAGAGGGGTAAGTGGAGAATTGTTCTTTTTTTTTTTTTTTTTTTTTTTTAAAGATTTTATTTATTCATTTGACAGACAGAGACACAGCGAGAGAGGGAACACAAGCAGGGGGAGTGGGAGAGGGAGAAGCAGGCTTCCCGCGGAGCAGGGAGCCCGATGCGGGGCTTGATCCCAGGACCCTGGGATCATGACCTGAGCCGAAGGCAGACGCTTAACGGCTGAGCCACCCAGGCGCCCCTGGAGAATTGTTCTTGAGGTGATGACAGTGTTTCGGAATTAGATGGTGGAGATAGTTGTAATGCAACTCAAGCTAAGCTAAAAGTCAGTGAACTATACACTTTGGATGCATCTTATGGTATGTGAAGTACAACAATCCAAATTTTTATATAGGGTCTCTTGAAACATCCAGGTGAAAGTCTGTCCGACAGGGAAGGCTAAGTGACTGGTCACCTCACAGATGGAAATGGTGCATATCAGTGAAGCCCTAGGCACATTTTCCGGCAAGTGCACAGGGCTGAGTGAAGCCTGAGCATAGGCAGCGGTGAGAGTGAGGGCTTCTAGCAGCGGGAGGGCGGGGAGTCAGAAGGAAGACTGGGGGTTGGGTGGCAGGAGAGGAGGGCTTGCTTGTGCTGTGTTGGGAGAACTGCCTACCAGGTGGGGCAGTTGGGGAGGGTCTGTTCGGAGGACCAGGGCCGGTCTCTGCTCTGGAGAGGGACTCAGGCTTAAGGCCCATTAGATTGAATTGAATGGGAGCCTAGACTAGAACAGAAACAGAGATGCCTTTGTGGTTTAATATTACGAACGCATAACGGAGGCAGGTTTTGAGGGGAGGTCAGTGGCTTCAGGAGTAGAAGACGGCTTATCTGTTGAAAATACACGTTTTTAGAGAAGAACCACGTTTCTTTGTCCTAGTCAGTGTGGCCACTTGGCAGCGATCACTCAGGATCAGGGCGATGGCTCTTGTTGACTTCTGTGCCTAGAGGAGGTGGGACGGGGCTGTTTGGGAGCCTTTGCTGGCACACGCTAGGCCCTAGGGATCCCATTATCCATGACTTTGGTCTCCTGGCACATTTCAGAGACTGCTTTGGGGAGTAAGTAACCTTGGTGATCTCTTGCTGCTGTTCCTGTCAATTTAAAACACAGGGCTGTTAAATAGATAAAATATTTGGGAACTGGTATCGGGGGTTGTTGTTGTTGTTGTTGTTGTTGTTGTTGTTTTTAATGAGCTTCGTTCCCATTTAAAAAGGTCTCACCCTCAGACCAGGGTCACTCAGAGCATCACAGGTGTCTTACACTATCAGGTTTTGTTGGCTGTTTTGAGACTAGTCTGTATTCTTACATCCCTGCTTGTTTGTGGAGCATGGAGTTGAGAGTGGACTGGGTATTGATCCACAGGTTAGGAAGATTTCTGGGCAGAAGATACCCTAGGTTCACTGTTAGGAAAATGGCCCACAGTGGAGTCACAGAATAGTGTATGCCCAGTGTGTTAATTGGCTGTTTTATGGCATTGTTTTTTCTTGGGGAAAGTCCTTTGGGCTACCAGGTTGGGAGGTGGAGGTTGGGCATATTTGCGCTGCTGGCCACCCAATGTCCTTCATTGGCTATTTTATATTATTTTATTTTATTTATTTATTTATTTTTAAAATATTTTTTTTTTAATTTTTTTTTTTAAGATTTTATTTATTTATTTGAGACAGAATGAGAGAGCGAGCGAGCACATGAGAGGGGGGAGGGTCAGAGGGAGAAGCAGACTCTCCCTGCCGAGCAGGGAGCCCGATGCGGGACTCGATCCCGGGACTCCAGGATCATGACCTGAACTGAAGGCAGTCGCTTAACTAACTGAGCCACCCAGGCGCCCTAAATAAAATCTTAAAAAAAAAAAAAATTAAAAAAAAAATTTTAGGGCGCCTGGGTGGCTCAGTTAGTTAAGCGACTGCCTTCAGTTCAGGTCATGATCCTGGAGTCCCGGGATCGAGTCCCGCATCGGGCTCCCTGCTCGGCAGGGAGAGTCTGCTTCTTCCTCTTATGCTCTCTGTCTCTCATTCTCAAATAAATAAATAAAATCTTAAAAAAAAAGATTTTATTTATTTATTTGACAGAGAGAGACACAGCGAGAGAGGGAACACAAGCAGGGGGAGTGGGAGAGGGAGAGGGAGAAGCAGGCTTCCCACAGAGTCAGGGAGCCTGATGCGGGGCTCGATCCCAGGATCCTGGGATCATGTCCTGAGCTGAAGGCAGACGCTTAACAACTGAGCCACCCAGGCGCCCCTCTTTTATTTTATTTTATTTTATTTTATTTTATTTTATTTTATTTTTTTAAAGATTTTATTTATTTGTGAGAGTGAGAGAGCCGTGAGCACAAGCAGGGGGAGAAGCAGGCTGTTTACAAAGCAAGGAGCCCGAAACGGGACTCAATCCCAGGACTCTGGGATCATGACCTGAGCCGAAGGCAGACGCTTAACTCACTGAGCCATCCAGGCTCCCCTTAATTGCCTTTTTTAATCAAGCGTTTCTCAATTCGAGATTTAGGGAAACATATCTGTGATTCTTACATGTGAGTTCATAATTCTTCTCTGTAATTTTCAAGTAACTGATTTTCACTTGTGCTTGTTTTATATATACCCCAAACTCCAATCTGTAATTGCATATGAAAAGTTATGCCTTGAAAGGAATAGCTCCCAAATGTACCAGTGTCGAGTTATGAATTAGGCCCTGGGTTTGCCCATGGAGGTGGGTGGATGGGCATGGAGTGTGACTTACAGCACAGTAAACAAAGACTCTTTTTCCCTTGGAAGGTTATGGTTTTCTAAGTGGACTCTACACTTACAACTTTCTCTTTTCTTTTCAGATGGACTTGGTGGTATTGGCATGGGGTTAGGCCCAGGAGGACAGCCTATTGATGCCAATCACCTGAATAAAGGCATTGGCATGGGAAACATAGGACCCGCAGGTGAGAACTACAGTGTACTTTGACTGGAGATGTCTGGGGAAGTTAGTTACTCAAGTGAACTATTGGGATAATTGGACATTGAGTACTTCAAATGGAATAAAGATTTAACGGGGGCAAAATTCCCTCCTTACTCATCTCTGATTCATTTTGATAAAAATAATATTTTGTGTTTTTACTGAATTGAATCCTTTTTTCAAAAATTGTTATACTTTGCATTTTATCCTTTCATGACCTTCCATGTTGAGGTAGTTAAGCTGTTTGATAAAAGGAGGCAAGTCGGAGAGTTGGTCTTGCTCAAGGTCACACTATCAGTTAGTGACAGAGACTATAGGTCTCCTGACCATGGGACCACAGCACTGCCACAGTCTATTACCCAGACACCCGTTGGGCTCTCGCCTGGTGTTGATATGGCGTATAGACTATGGTAGGGGCATTGATGGATACAGAAAGGCATGGAGGGCCTCATTACATGACAACATCGCCATCATGGGCCTCAGAGACACTGTGTTCAGTGTTGTCTTTGTTCAAGAAGATAAGAAATAGCTGCTGAATGAAAGCTTTGTGAAGAATATGTTTTAAACTCTGTTTAGCATTTTCATTCTGTGCGATGAGGCATTTACATACTATTAAGAACTATTTCATTTTTATGACCACAGTCTTAGGTCTCTCTTGAAATCCTTTGAATTGCAGGATGGATGTCCCTTCACCCTGCTACTGTTAGTTCTGCATATCCCTTGTCTCCCTCCCAGATTAAACTCTGGGCTTCATCTCAACGCCCTGGACGATCACCTCACATGGCCCTATCAGTTTGACCGCCACCGCCCCCCCCCCTTGCCCCCCGACTAATGCCTAAGAAGAAAGGGGTGGCGGGGAGGGAAGCCTCAGTGTTTTTAGGAACTGCTATTTAGAGAATTTTATCTTTTTAAACCTGTGTTCCCTGAAATAAGCTTCTAAAAAAGTGAGCTCCAGTTTGTACTGGCTAATTATATATCATGTTTAAAATGGTCTTAGTTATTTATTAAAACTGTATGTGTAAAGAATTTTGAGTCATGTGGTGATTATTTTGTTAAAGACTTGTGAAAGACATAGTTTCCTGGAATGTGATAGTTTGACAGGTGAGATGGTAGAGCCCCCTCTGTCCTCCTTTTCCTTGACAATTAAAATATATTCATAACCAGGGATATTTTTTGTTCATTTGCTGGTTTGGAATTACTTGTGCTTTTTAAGTTCAAACATTACTGCTTTGACATAATTTTAGTTTGCATTGACTTTTTCTTTTTAAGGAATGGGAATGGAAGGCATAGGATTTGGAATAAATAAAATGGGAGGTAAGAGATTTAAAATGAAGTACAAATGTAATCACTTTTAGGTATGGTTTTCTCTCACCTTTCCTCTTTCTTTTCCCTCAAGCCTTGCATGAATTCTCACTTTGGTTTCCAAAAACTCTGAATCTAGAAATTAATTTTTCCCATCAGTCTTTCCAGTGGGTATCTTGGCTTTTGGTTCTGGCTTTCTCACTAACTAGCTCTGTGACCTTGGGCAAATCACTCCATCTCTCTGGGCCTCTCTTTGCTTGTCTGTTAAGGGGGTTGGATCAGATTAGCTTTTTGAAGATGGTGATTTTTACTCGAGGGCACTAGCATTTTTTCCCCAAAAGCCCTTACACTTGGTAAGGAAGTTCTTGGCAGAAAATGCCCAGGGTGAAACTTGTGAAAAAATCTTTCTTTTCCTGATGAGTATAAGCAGTCTCGTTGGAATGATGCTCAAATGGGAATGTCGAATGTCTCTTGCAGGCATGGAGGGACCTTTTGGTGGTGGTATGGAAAACATGGGTCGATTTGGATCTGGGATGAACATGGGCAGAATAAATGGTAAGACTCATGCTTCCTTCCTGCTTCCACCTGCCCCCTGCTAGCTGTTGGCTCTTGGGTGACCTTGAGGCAGCACACCCATTTTTAGTGAATAATTGCCCCTTCCACTTTTCTATTGAATTCGATGTTTTTGAATTGCCTTAAATGTTAGTCAGTCACAAGTTTGTATTCCAGAAGGTAGACTTCCTATTCCTAGTAGGTGTTAATCCTGTTAGTCACTAAACTGTGTGTTGTGTTCTGAATCTCCCTGATAATTACCCAATAAAAATAGTAAAGCTTTTTATTGTCTCCAGCACTAGCAAGCATCCTGTAGATACCTGTGGTTATGCTTTGCTCATTTTAAAATTGTCTTCAAGTGTAAGGGATTAGTTTTAGTTTCTTTGGAGTTTTTGATCAAATTTATATCTTCCCTGGAGTGCTGGAGTGCATCAGTTCTTGATCATCTGCTCTGATAAAACTCTGAGTTGTGAACAGAGACATTGATTTAATTTAGCATTTACATAGTGCAAATTTTGGTGTATTATCACTCGAGGCTTTCATCCCCTTAGTAGAAATATACTATCATAGTAACAGTGTGTTTTTTCGTTTAGTCCTTGCAAGAACCACATGATTTGTAGGTACTTTTATCACCATTTCGTCAGAAACTGAGGCCCAGAGAGTGACTTGCCTAAGGTCACATGGCTAGTAATAATGGGATATATATGGATCCTGGCTATCTGGCTCCAGAGCCTGGCTCTTAGTCACACTGTGATCCTACTTTTCAGAACTGACTCCAGCATGGGCATCATCCCCTTCTCAGTGGGCCTGTAGAGTGTGCTTTGAGAAACCCTGCAGACTGTATTTCTGAAATCCTTTGGGGGTTGGTTGACTCTTTGAACCCCACCTGTGGGGATGTTGCTTCCCTTAAACACATAAACTTTCCTGGGATGGAAAGTCATTAAAGATTTGCATTTAAATGTTTCTTTGCTGACCTGCAGTATCCTTTAACGTGAAGATAGACTAGAGCAAGTGAGTATCTTCCTAGGATAACTGTCAGACTGGAAAGAAAGAAAATTCTGATGAATAAACTGCCCTTCTTCATGGGTTTGCCTTGTTCTAGATGATGATAAAAAGATATAAGGAAGTCCTCACTGTTAGGAATGATGGGACAAAGGTCTGCATTTCCAGTGTACTTTCAGGCTAGCCTGTAGCTCATAATGTGTATAGGAATTCTAATAAAAGGTGAGGAGTCTGGCTTGGTAAAGTGTTTGCTCAAAACAGATGAGTCATTAGGAAATGGGGTTTTTGCTCTGAGGAGTGGAGTGATGTCATTTAGAAGTGGATGGAGAGGGGTGGGGCTGTGCTGAGGAGTGTGAGCAAAGTCCTTGGTAATCTGGCAGGTGGAATGCCGCAGTCACAGTTCTGGGCCTGGTGATCAAAGGTTCGCAGTGCTGATTCTCCTGGAGAGCAACAGTGGGAGGATGTGTTCTGATGGAGTGTTCTTAGATGTTCTGAGATAAAGGTACTTCAGGTCCTCCCTCATCATCCTCTGCAGTAGACAACAGAGAATGCTTTACTTCCACTTGAGCTGTGTTCTGAGCTTTGAGTGCAGTCAACTTTATCAGGGGAAAAGTTGATAAAGATGTTTTGGATTTAATTTAATGTTTAGTTGGTGACCGTAATGCATCTACCAAGGTCGTGGGTGCTGACATCAGACTGAGAAGTCAGTCTCATCCAGTCAGTCAGCAATACAGGTCAAGTCCTGATAGAGTGGGTATTAAAAATTACAAATTAAAAAATCATCAAATGCCAAACAATGATATGGTACAATATTTGGCAAGGAAAACTCTTTGGGTAGTTCATTGGAATTCACAGAGGGTGTCCTGAACTGTAGAGCCTGTTGACAGTTGGGAAGATGAGTTCTGTTTGGTTTTCTTTTTGTTTTTGTTTGGGAAGATGAGTTCTGAGGCCTTTGCTGACAAATTAATACCTACATATGACTTCCTTATCTCAAGGGGGCACAGTGCTGCCTTTTTTATGCCTTTATGATAGGGATTAAAGGAGTACAGCAGAGCATTGTCCATTACAGTGCCGCTCTGGGATTTCCCTTCTGCCTACCACATGCAAGCTTGCGCAAGTTAGTTATATTTTCAGCAGATGGCATGCCACCAACCTATGAGATTCAGTTGGGTCGATTCAAACTATGAATAGCAAGTTCACCATTGCTAAAATCTGTTTTCTTTTTTTTTTTTTTAATTAGAGTGAGCGTGAAGGGGGTTGGTGCAGAGGCAGACAGGGAGAAACAGATTACCCGCTGAGCAGGGAGCCTGATCTGATGTAGGGCTTGATCCCCCGGACCCCGAGATCATGACCTGAGCCGAAGGCAGACACTTAAGAAACTGAACCACCAGGGCGCCCCTCTGCTGCATTTTCTAATTAATTCATAATGGCTAGCCTGCTTCCATCCCTTTGGTAGGCTTGTTCACTTCATTGAAAGTATAGGGACTTGAGCTGCATATAACTATTTTCGGTAGTTATGCGATAAAAGGTGATCACTATATAGCACCTGATTTTTAAGGAGCAACATTAACTAGATTTTTCAAGGACCTCTCAGTATGGGAGGGAGACACAGTGTGATACACATCTTACGTCTTGCTTTAGAGGAAAGAAGTAGCCAATGATGGGATCATCAAAGGCTTTCTCCAGCAGTTGACAGCTGTGGTAAGGCTTTCCCCAAAGAAGCTAAGACCTTTGTTTTTAAAAGATTGTTGCAAAACATAAGTCTTGGCTGTCAGCATAGAAAAAAATAATGAAGTTACCAACATCCTTGTGTAGATGAAACTACCTGTGTTAGTAGAGACGTCCCGTTACATACAGGCATGTTCCTATATTGTGTGTAGATGTGCTTTTGTTAGTAGAGCATGGATTTTTGCATCGGGTTTAGGTTCCAGCCTTTGCTCACCCCTTAACTGGGCATGTGACCTTGGTCAAGTTACTAAGGCATTGGAGCCTCTTTCTTGGTAAAGGGGCAGTGATGTTGCAGGCTGTTGTGAGGATTCCATGAGCTGCCAGCACACGTAGAGCCCGGGGTGGGGCGGGGCACGTGGGAAGTACCCGGCAGGTGGTAGCTGCTGCCGCAGGCTCCTTTGGCTCAGCGAGTGCCCACGCCGGTTGCTGTAGGAGCAGGTGCTTGGTGTACCTTACGGGGGGCTTTACTGAAAGTTGTCAATTAGTCCTTAATGGATTAAAGGTAGGTAGTTTTTACGGTTTCACTTGAGGTGACTTTTTTAAGGAAAAAAGGACTAATGATGGTTTCTCTGTAGAAAGAGTGGACATGCTGACTTGGTGGCGGCTGTTGTGTGCCTGTAGTGAATTTGTCATGTCTAAAACACAGTGGTATTCCTGGAAAGGCCTAGGGTAATATTTTTCTCCACAGAGATGGAGCGTGGCATGGGTGGAGGATTTGAGAGAGACTTTGCCAGAAACAAGATGGGAATGTCTCGAAGCTTTGGCGAGCCCCTTGGCAGAGGAATGGGTAAGAAGGCCCCACATGGGCGGGGGCTCACCCCCTGGGGTGCAGGCTCATCCTCAGGTCCGAGGTTCTTTCTTAGGCAAAGTCAGCTGTTTTCCCATAGTCTTAAAAAACTGAACATTTTCTAGACCTAGGTAAAAACTTTCGGTCCTTGAATTTTTTATTGGTATCAATAGAACCATCTTTCTTTAGTCTTTTCAGGTGGCTTCTTTGGTTGCACTGGTATAAGATGTTGGCTTGCTGTGGCAGTTAGAACTGCTGCGTTACCGAGCACTGGCTCTCTGGAGTGGTAGAGGTTTCAGAGACCCTGCTGAGAGAGGTGTGAGTTCCCTTGTCCAGGGCGCTGTGGTGGTCTAGTTAACGGATGGCAGGGTGTGCTTGCTGGTACCTTTAAAAGAGGCCTCAGGACCTGGAGTTTTCTGATGCTGGAAGGCCTGGCTTATTGGGCCGAAGTGCAGAGAAACGCTTGTTTCAGTTTTGGTTAGATTGCAAACAAAGTTTCTTTACTTCTCGGTGAGTGTTTCTCCCCTCTCCCGTTTTCAGTTTAGATGTTTCTGAGAATCCACCAGCTTAATTCTTCATTAGTATGGTGCAAAAGAGATTGTCCAGTTTGGGGCTCTTAAGTTTGTGTCTGTCAAAGGTGATTTGGAGCGTGGATCTGTACTCTCCCCGCATCTTCACCTGCTTCTCATTCTGTGCAGATGTGAGGCTTCTAGGTGACCGCCTCAGAGTGCTCAGCATCTGTCTTTGGGGGACCCATTGAGTTAGGTGTGAGGATTTTAAGCCCTTTTGTGTAAGTTTGTATTAGATACGTTCTTAGAATTTATGAAGGTCCTAGAAAGATTCATCATCCAGCTCATCAGTGAGACCAGATTCTTCTGCAGATTATTTCTAGGACTCCCATCCTCTTCGTGTTGTGTCCTCCATGAAAACCAGGAACTATTAGAAACTGTTTCCCTCAGAGTGGAGGGAAACAGTTGTTTGGTGGAGACTTGTTTCTCTTTTTCCCTACTGGCAGTTAAGTAGCTGGAAGGACTTTCTTGTGTCTTACTAGGCTGGTAGTGAAGATAGTGAAGATTTCATTTTTTTTTTCCCTTGTACTTGTCTGATATGACTGTAGTAGTTTTATTGTAGTTAATTCCAAAGCTTTAGGATTTTGGGGATGAGTTCATAATCTTTATGTGACTAGGTTAGCTAAAAGTTTCTCATTATCTATGACTGATTGTGTTTTTGTGTCCTGGAACAGCAGGATTTTTTTTTTTTTTTAAAGATTTTTTATTTTTTTATTAGAGAGTACAAGCAGGGGGAGCGTCAGGCAGAGGGAGAGGGAGAAGCAGGCTTCCCGCTCAGCAGGGAGCTCTATGTGGGGCTCGATCCCAGGACCCTGGAATCATGACCTGGGTCGAAGGCAGACGCTTAACCGACTGAGCCACCCAGGCACCGCAGCAGCAGGATATTTTTTTAAATACTTAAAAACTTTTCATTTGGTTGCAAACAGCAATTTGAGGGTGAGAAGAGAACAAGATGGCACATGACTTCGCTTCCATAGGCTCTTCTTCCTGCCTTAGGCCTTTAATTCTTTGCTACACTGTGGTGCCTCTCAACCTCTGTGATGAGGCTGGTGGCCTTGTCCTGGTTCGTGGAGAAGGGGTAGAGCTAGTGAGGTCATTATTTTTCATGGCAACAGGAAACTCCTCCAGTCCCGACCTGAATAGAAATGTCATCTAACTCCTGCTGCTTTGCCACCTTCTCTCTGATTGAGACTCTCTTGTCTCTTTGTCCTGAGACCTCCCAGAGTGACATGAGCAAGAGCAAAGGGCTTTGTTCTGGAATTCCCTGCTGCTACTTGTGATCAGACCCAATTTAGTAAAAGGTGTCTAAGTTTAAGTTGGGATTTCAGACTAGTTGGCCTGGGTGGGTTTTTTGTTTTGTTCTGTTTATTCAGTTCTTGATTTCTCTCTCCTTTCTGGTTTTCACTTGGAAGTTGAATTGTTTTCGGTGCTACTTTCTGTTGTATCTCCCCATTCAGTGTCCCTTCTCTACTATCAAGGCAGTAGATCTTTGCCCTTGTTTCTGCAAACCACTGTACTTGGTGGTGCAGGGATGTAGACATGTGGTCCTTGATCTTGAAGGAGGTGGTGCAGCTGAGGAGACGATGCGCAGTGACTCAGGGCAGCACCAGAGGTCCGTACATAGAAGTGGCCTAGTGAGGGTGCCAGTGAAGATCTTGGTTCCTAGGCCCTTGGCAGATGGGTGAGCAACACACAAAAGTGATCATTTCCTACGTGGCTGATAGAAGTTTCCTGCTGAGAGCACTGGATCTGAGCAGAAGTGCAAGACTGTGCAGGAGATGCAGTTTAAGCTGGAGGGGCTGGGTGTCTGAGAGAGTTCAGTGTAACTAGAGGGCGTACTGGCAGGATAGAGAGGGCTGACAGCATCAGGTGCAGAGGCTTGGAGGTGAGGGTCTACCTGGGGTCGGAAGAACAGATTCAAGTTCAGAGTTAGAGCAGGGAGGTCTGTGAATGCCCATGAAAAGAATTTTTCCTTTTTCTTCAAATCAGTGGTGTGCCGATTGTGAAGCTTTTGCAAGGAATATTTTGATCTAAGTGCCGATTTAGGAAAGTGAAGCTAGGCCTGTGTATGCTGAGTAGGATCGCAGGTGTCACGGAATAAGTAAGCCCTACTTGTTTGCAGGCTGGATGTCTGTTGTTTCTTGGTATGCTTTCCCACGTCCTTCCTGTAGCAGGTAGTTATAGTACCAGAAACAGCTGTGTGGTTAGGGATAATCTCTGTGGTCTCAGTCATAAAATGAGATATGCTCTGTGGCTATTGGTCCACATTGCTGAGCACACTTTGTGACCAGAGAAGGGGGGTGGGTACAAATCTCTTTACAGGGTGAAGAGCTGAGAAGAAACTTTTAAAAGCTAGTACTAACCCTGTAGCATTAGACAAACTTTAAAGAGGTTTGGATGAATCGTTGGCAAACAAGCAGCAGTGTTTTCTGTTTTCGACAGGGTGTTGGATGTGGTTTGGATGTGTTGGGGTTTTTATTTTCCTGAATCTTTGTCTGTCACTTAATCATCATCACACCCAGCTCCTTCCAGGTGGGGCTGGTGGGCTTAGCTTGCTGGAGTCTTTCCATGCACGACTTGTTAATGAGGTCATACTTCAGCACGGCATGCCGTTGCTGCTGGTTTTCAGGGTTTTGGCAGTAAGTATAGCCACAGCTTTAGTTTGCTAAAGGATAACTGTGAGGTGTTGATTGGATCTGGTGGGTGAGTGCAGGCTTCAGCCAGAGTGCTGAGGCTCTGGACCAGCTTTAGGAAACTGTGCCACTGGCCCCGTTCTTGCTCTGATTTTCTAAGTTCACTTCATTGGTGCACACTGGCTCTTACTTAGCTCTGCTGGGCACATTCCCAGATGGTCTTGCCAACTGGGCTCAGACTCTGGAGCTACATGGGATCCTAGTATCATGACCCATCATCAAGGACTCTTACAGTTTTCTAGTAAAATGATCCTGTCTGTGTGTGTATTTCTTAACCCCTCCCCCCCTTTCCTTGTTTTATTTTTAAATTAGTAATATTCTTATTCTGGAATCTGTAATAAACAAATTTCTGTTATCATAGAGAAATTTGGCTAATTTTTTTTTCTTCCTGATTTCCTTAGAAATCCTAAGTAATGCACTGAAGAGAGGAGAGATCATTGCAAAGCAGGGAGGAGGTAGGAAACGCTTAGTTTTGATGTTTTGATTTTTAGAATAGGCTGTTATTACTGGGGATAGTAGAGTGTAGTGGTGGAAAGTATGGGCTCTAAAATAGACTGCCTGGGTGGGAACCAGCTCTGTCTCTTCCTAGCTGTGTGACATTTGGCAAGTTACTGAACCTCTCTGTTTTCCATACTATAAATGGGGATATAATGGTATCTACCTCATAGGGTTGTTGTGCAGAGTACCTGAGTTAATGCATAGAAGAGAATACATACGTAAGTGCTATGTAAGCGTTAGCCATTGTCATTATTATAATATCCATGTAATTTGGGGACTTTGTTGTTTTAAATACCATAAAATTGTGAATTCCTGAAAGTAAATAACCTGATTATAAAAGTATACTAGCTCCATTCCTAACAAATGCTTACTCAACTGTACATTTGTACTGATAAATATTCAGAAAATTATTTTTAAAAAAATTAAATATCTGCAATCTCACTGCCCAGTGATGAGTGCTGTAAACATTTTGGACTATATCCTTCCATTAATATACACTTTTTTTTATGGGTACTTAAAACTAAATGAACTTCTTTTGTCAGCTTGATCTCCCCTCCGTGCCCAATGGCTCTGAGTGCCTTGGCATTTCCTTGGTAACTCCACTTGCTGATTATTTCTGTGGTGCGCTGATTCTAAAACTCCACATGGGCACCGTTTTTCCCTTGTTCTCTGCTGCTTTTGGCATCTGGGGGGTCAGCCTGATTTCTGATGTTCTTGAGCTTGCTACCTGCCCTTTTCTATTTATCTTGCTTTTTTTTTTTTTTTTTTTTTTAAGTAGTTTCTGAGAAATTTCTGCTCTCAGAGCAGAACTTGTGTTTCTTAAATTGTGTTTATATTTTGCCACTTGGTGTGCTATTACTCAGCATGACTAAGGAAATAGTCCTGGAGAAGTGGAGTGATATGTGAGGTCAGAGACTCACAGAAACTTCTGAGTCTCCTTTTCTTGAATTTACATCTTGGACTGGGCCTCTTGGGTCAGGAATGGGCTGGCTGTGGGCTCAGCTGACCTTTTTCAGAGGCAGGTGGTGGCGGTGGTGGTGGTGAAGCTTAAGTGAGAGGGACCTTGATGCTCTGCATGGTGGAAAAGTGGTGGGCGGTGGCCTTGCAGGTGGAGCCAGACCCTTCTTGTCCAGAGTTACCAGGTTCACAGGGTCCCTGCATTGCTGACATGCCAGCATGTGTTGAGAACTGATCTGAGACCTCTTCTAGGATCTACTCTGCAAGTGCCATCGACTTCTTTTCCTCCAAAGCCAGCAGAGTTATGCACAGCTCATTTGGGGGTTTTCCTCACAGAGTAAGGCTCCCTGGAAGTAGCTGTCTATCTAGATATAGAGGATCTATATTGGTGTTTGTTTTCTTTATCTCCTCTTAATTGCGTGGCTGTATACTAGCTGCTTTTTGCCTGGGGTGCTAAGGAAATGCAGCCATACTGGCCGTCAGCAGGGCATCTGAGAGGGACAAGCTGAGAGAAGGGTAAAGGTTGTGAGTGATTGGAATTGCCACATATAATCCATGTAATCCATCACACAGACTGACCAACTGAGGGTGGGGTTTCCGAGCTTCCTTCATTGAAAGCATTTCTCAGTTAAATTTGGTGGGGAGACCTCAGAGTTCTCAGGAACTGACAACCATGGCTCACAAAGCTAGTTACAAGTACTAGCGCTTCTGAAATAACATGGAGAACATTGCTGACACAAGTCCTCCAGGGTGGATTTTCTCCCTTTTAAAATTTTACTATGGAAATTTTAGCTGTTGCACAGATATAGGAAGAATGATGTCCTCACTACCCCGCCTTAACAATTGTCTGTCGACATTTGAGGGATGTCTAATGATAAATTGTTGTGGGATTTAATTCCTGAACTGGGGTTGAGCTTGTGAAGTGCCCAAGCCTCTGCACCCAGGTCACCCTCTGGCATGGTGTGCACACAGGTGTGCAAGTCCCTGATATCTGCCTGTGTTTTGTGTCCCTGTTCCAGGTGGAGGTGGAGGCAGTGTCCCTGGGATCGAGAGGATGGGCCCTGGCATTGACCGCATTGGGGGTGCCGGCATGGAGCGCATGGGCGCAGGCCTGGGCCATGGCATGGATCGTGTGGGCTCCGAGATTGAGCGCATGGGCCTGGTCATGGACCGCATGGGCTCAGTTGAGCGCATGGGCTCCGGCATCGAGCGCATGGGCCCACTGGGCCTCGACCACATGGCCTCCAGCATCGAGCGAATGGGCCAGACCATGGAGCGCATCGGCTCTGGCGTGGAGCGCATGGGTGCCGGCATGGGCTTTGGCCTTGAGCGCATGGCCGCGCCCATCGACCGCGTAGGCCAGACCATTGAGCGTATGGGCTCTGGTGTGGAGCGAATGGGCCCTGCCATCGAGCGCATGGGCCTGAGCATGGAGCGCATGGTGCCCGCAGGCATGGGGGCTGGCCTGGAGCGCATGGGCCCCGTGATGGATCGCATGGCCACCGGCCTGGAGCGCATGGGCGCCAACAACCTGGAGCGCATGGGCCTGGAGCGAATGGGCGCCAACAGTCTCGAGCGCATGGGCCTGGAGCGCATGGGCGCCAACAGCCTGGAGCGCATGGGTCCTGCCATGGGTCCAGCCCTAGGCGCCGGCATTGAGCGCATGGGCCTGGCCATGGGTGGCGGTGGCGGTGCCAGCTTTGACCGCGCCATCGAGATGGAGCGTGGCAACTTTGGAGGAAGCTTCGCAGGTTCCTTTGGCGGAGCTGGAGGCCATGCTCCTGGGGTGGCCAGGAAGGCCTGCCAGATATTTGTGAGAAATGTAAGTGGTTCTTCAGCAACTTGGTGGTGGTGGTGGTAGGCACAAAGGGAGGAGGGGGCAGGTTGGCGTCAGAGTTGGTGCCCTCAGTAGGGAGGCAGAGTAGCAGCACTTAAGGCCACCTTGCTACTGTCCCCAAAGTCTGGTGCTGTTAGGATAAGGAGGGAATGGGAGAGCAAAACGAACTCTGTGCAACAGGAGCCCCAGGTTTTTGTACTGCTAGGCGGAAACCAACACTGAGCTCAGGAACCCAGCTTCTTGATTCCCTTGGCTTGAAGAACCACTACACTTGGGCATGACAGAGACAAAGGGCTATATCTGCCTTATCTTTATACCAAGTTGACCACCTTCAGTTACTGTTGAATGGTCTGTGGGCTGCTTACCATAGGCTATTGTCGTCTGCATGATTCTCCCTTAGACAGTTAATGCCACAAAGGGAGTGCGCTTGGTGTGCCGTTTTCGAACCTCATTCCAGGCCGGTGTGTTTTGTTCTCTGCTGGTATCTCAGTTTGAAGGGTACCCTATTTCTCAGTGTACAAGAAGTCCTGAAAGTTCCTCTCAGAGAGACCCTGGTGTTTATGCATTAGGACATTAGGATTTGGCTGTATCACTCATCAGTTTCTCCTTTTCCATTTAGCTCCCATTTGATTTTACATGGAAGATGCTAAAAGACAAATTCAACGAATGTGGTAAGTGTTTGGGAAAGGCTTTCTAGGTGCTTCCATGTGTTGTGGCTTCAGAAGTCTTAGCTTGTTAGTGATGCATTTGAGGGGTGCAGTGAAGCTCCCATCCTGGTCTTCACAGCCACTTGCCGTGACTCGAGGACCAATGGGACTTGCCATTTTTCTGCCTGTGCAAGTATTCAAGCCAGTTGTTGAGTTTCCTCTTATGTGTCAGACACTTCTCACCTGTGTTCTCATTTCAACCCCATCCTTCTCCTTTTACGGTTTTTGAAAGGAGGTGATGTCCCCATTTTGCAGATGAGTCCGGCAAAGTCACGTTGCCAAGGTCACATGGCTTCTACGTGACAAAGCTGAATAAAAACATCTGCGATGAGGTTGCTTTCTACCACCGCACTGTTGGTTCATGCCTCAGAGAGCACTTTCTCGGAAGTTCCCAGGGGTGAGCTTCTATGTGAATGAGGCTGAGCGGCTCTGGTTGTGGTGGTTTCCTGGCACACCAGGCCACCTTTCTGAAAGGCTCATTGTGTGGCTGAAAGGAAGTGAAGTTGTCCCTGGGTGAATCCCTGCCCCTCACTCCCACCACCTCTGTTCTTTTAACCATGTCAAGTGGGAGCCCGGGACCTAAGCCAGAAGTCTGGGTGGCTTGCTGGGTCAAGGCCTCCTCACTGTTTCTCATTTCCTGTTTCACTGGTAGTTCAGATTGCGCCACTTTGCTGCTTCTCCTGGTTCTTCTCTTGGGGCAGCTGTTGAGCCATAGTGTGCCTTCTTGCCCTCGCCCCACTCCTTAGTTTCCACATTGTAGTAGGTATTCTGAAAAGTCAAGTTGGATCAGGCTGCTCCCCTGCCTCAGGTGCCTGGAGGTGCCCCTCTGCCAACAAGAGAAACTCACTAGCCCCTTTGTAACTTAGTCCCTCCTCTTTCATCTCCCTCCTGTCCCTGAATCCTGAGTTGCAAGTGTCATTCTCCAGAAGTGCTTTATTTCATGTTATTATCGTAAGAGTTTACCTTCTGGTGGACTTTTATTTCAGAACTGTCCCATGAGAAGCCCTCTAGATGTTGCCCTTCCCTTGGGCTGAGTTAATGGCTTTAGAAACGAGGGCCCCTTAGCATAGGCTACACGGTCATGTCCTTAGCTCTTCCCCTATAGACTTGTTTCATGGTGGTGCTTGACACATACCTGGATGCTTAACCAGTACTTGAATGAATATGTGAAACCCACTTGTGAGATAGGACGCAGCCTGTGTGTGGACAGTACAGAAGTGTCCATTATATCACGATGGCCTCGTAAATGCTGTGGTGTGGGGTCTGGAAGATGAAGCCTCTGCACAACTCACCTATAAGGTTGGCTTCACACAGTCCCCTGTATAACTTTCTTGAGTGTATGAGTGTGCATTTGAAACTGCCAGGAAGGCTTATCATGGGTCGATTGTTGTCCTCTTGGCAGAAGAATGGCAACATGGCTGAGGGCCATAGTCGCTGGATTCCGGCTGTTGTGTTCTGAGCATTCGTGTGCCAGGGCCGCTCTCCCTTTTGACTCTGTCCACCGAAATCCAACAGGTGATCTGGACTGAGTGGAGCCCAGACTGAGGCTGAGCTCTGGGTTTGCCTGATGAGTTGTGGTCTCTTCTTCCCTCCCTGTGCCCAGGCCACGTGCTGTATGCCGACATCAAGATGGAGAACGGGAAGTCCAAGGGGTGCGGTGTGGTTAAGTTTGAGTCGCCAGAGGTGGCTGAGAGAGCCTGCCGGATGATGAATGGGATGAAGCTGAGTGGCCGAGAGATTGATGTTCGAATCGATAGAAATGCTTAAGCAGTTGCCTTTTTTAAACATCGATACCAGACCTCTGAATTTGTATTTTTTCTTGTTAACCATTTTAATTTGTTGGCTGGATGTATAAAGATGTTTAAAAAATTCAGTTGCTTTTTGGGGTAATTTGAATTACTTTTTTAATGACTGGGGTTCCATTTGACTGTTTGCATTGAGATTGCAATGTGCGCAATTTTTTTTGTAGTTGTGGCATCTTGTTGACATCGAATATGACTTTGATAATAAATACCAGTTCCTGAAAAGATGCTTGCTTTTTGCCTGTGTGTTGTGGGGCACCCACCTCCGGTTTGGGGAGCTAGAGCCAGTTTTCTTTCTCCCCTTGGAGCTGTGACCACTGGAGGTCTCATCCCTATTCTTGCTTTGTCTGTGGACCCCGAGGGTGGAGGGCATGGACCCTGGCCACTTCAGGAGAACTCTTTATGGAAACTGAGTCCTGAGTGGACTTGAATTCTCCAGTGCTGGTGATAAAGCACTTGGATATTAGCGGTCCTGAGAGCCGTTCTCTCTCCCTCCTGTGCTGTTGCTCTTCGGGGCACAGACATTGTGTCAGGCTCATTTCCAGTTTGGCTTTTGTCATAGTCCACTTTGGCTGCTATAACAAAATACCATAAGCTGGGCAGCTTATAAACAACAGACATGTATTTCTCACGGTTTTGGAGGCTGGGACGTCCAAGATCAAAACACTGGCTGATTCCATGTCTGGTGAGGGAACCTGATCTTGGTTTATAGATGGTACTTCCTAGCTGTGATCTCACATGGTGGGAGTGGCAGGGGAACTTTCTTGGGCCTCTTTTTTTATAAAGGCAGTAATCACCCCCCAGACAGCATCACATTGGGCGTTAGGCTTTCAACAGAGGAATTGTGTGTGCTTGTGGGGGGTGGGGGGCATATACTTTCAGTCCATAGCAGCTTTTCTTTGCTACAGTAACAGACTGAGGAGGGTGCGAGTTTCTGAGCATATTTAGAACTCTAGCGGTTTAGGCTGACCGTGCGTGATACCTGGGCTCTGTCAGAACTGGGTCACCCCTCCCTTTTCTCTCCCAAGATGTGATCTCATTCATACGTAGGTCCGCTTGGGCTACACAGCTATTTGCAGCTTGTGCGGAGCTGCCGCCACTGCTTGTCACGTTTGGTTGTGGGGTCCTAGCCTTGCCACCTTCTCCCTGCCACACTTTCCTCCTCCTCGTGTTTCTCCCTGAGGGGTGAGACCGTGGAGGGATGGGGTCGACCTCGCAGACCCCCAAGTGTTTGATCATGACTCCACTGTGTGCCAATCAGGAGGGAGAGAAAAGACAAGAAGCAGGAATCACTTTCAGTAGGAGCTTTATGTGGTTCATGTATGTAGGCAGGCATGAGCCTGGGTGGTTCTGTGACTGCCAATCTGGGATCCAAGACTCCTGGATTAGTGGGTGGCTGGGCTGGCCGGTTGTCCTGGGTACCCACACCTGTGGGCCTTACCGTTCCCGGGGGGATGGTCGGCTCTCCAGAGGGTCTGCCGAGGAAGGGTGATTTGCAGTGACTCCTCTCCCCGTAAGCGGATAATGAGCAGCCCTCAGGGAAACGGGGTGAGGGGTTTACCTCCTTCCAGCCTACCTCTGGTCCCTTCCAGCCTACCCAGAGCATCTACATACCCCAGAAGCCAACATCGTCATACACCTCCGTTTCCCTGGCAGAGAGCACAGTTGGGTCAGTAAGAGTCACCTTGGCCCACTGACCACCCCGCCCTCCCCATCACCCCTAGTCAGGGCCAGCACTCACAGGGGCAGTAGAGCTGTTCTGGGCACGTAGCCATCTGCAAAGAAAGTAGGATAGGTAAGCTCCCAGCCTTGGTGGTAGCCTGTTTCCCTAGGACTTCCTGGTTTGTCTGACTTACATTTGCCCTTGGTGTCCCGGCACAGCATCTCATCCTTGTTGGTGAACTCGATCACCTCCAGGATCTCCCCACGCCGGATCCCCAGGTGCTTGCCACCCCCACGACGTGTCTTGGCGTTGGGATCGATCATCATCCTTGTCTGAATCACTATCTCCCCCTCAAACTGGGGAGGGATATGTTAGAGCTTTTGTTTTGTGCTTTCACCCCAGGAACCCCGTCTTTCTGAGGATTGAATTTGGTCAGTTGGGGCTGTGCCCAAAACTCCAGGGCTCTTGTTTCAAGGATTCTGGTGTTCACACCTTGAACTTTTTCCGGAACTCCCTCTCGGCCTTCTCTGCCTTCCGGATCTGCTTCAGGGTCTTTGGGTCTGCGGGTGGCAACTGCTGTGGCTGGGGGGCCTTCTCCTTCCTGAGGAATTGGATGCTCCTGAGGAAGATGTGCTCCTCAGGGGCCCCCTCCGTGTCCTCCCAGAGCTCAGCCCCTCTGTGTTACATGCCCTTTGCCCTGTGGTACCTGAGTTCTGGATCTTGTGGTGGCCTGGGGGGTTGCTGGGTAGATGGCACGTCATCTGGGAGCAGTCAGAGCGCTGAGTTAGGGCAGGGACCGTTGGCTCAGCCTCCCTCTCGACACTGGTGGCTTGATCTTGAATGAGCTTTCCCTGGGTCAGTTCTCAGGACATCCACCCCCTCCCAAACCCCACCCTGCCCACCTGCCCATCTTCTCCCTAGGCCTTTCTCTTGGGTTGTGAGTTCTAGTGGATTGGCTCTTGTTTTCGTAACTCCTACTGCATGGCAGGCATGGCAGAAACTGTTTACTAGAGTAACTCATTTCAGCCCTCACAGCAACCTTATTACTTAGGGTAGTAGGCAATACTGTCATTCCCAGCTCATTGATGAGGGAAATAAAGGCTCTGGGTGGTAAAGCAATCCTGCTCCAAGGTCATCTGGCTGGAAATGATACAGGCGGCTTTATTTGCAGGATTTTGAGGCCATTTCATGTCTGTCTCCTAGAGTAGGTTGGCTTCTGGGAATTGTCATGGGTTCTGGGTCAAAAATAAGGCAAAAACATTTCTTAGAGCAGATGAAATGGGTGTCTGAGTAGGGGCTGGTGGGGTGGGGTGGGGTTCCTGGACTGGCCTGGCTGGTGCTGAGACCAAATTGTGAGGGGTCTGCCTGGTGAGGGCTGACTTCCTGGCAAACTGCCAGCCTTCCAGGGAGGATTCTGCTGGCCAGGGTTTGGCTTACGGCGAGAGCCTCGTGAATACCAGTTGAGTGAAGGATCCAGAACATGAAGCCCCCAACTTTTTGCACCAGACTCCAGCCTCGGCCTGGTGCTCAGATGTGACGGTGCCATCTACAGTCTCACCCAGGACATTTCCCTCTGGCTGCTTCCCCTTCTCCCAGAGGCACCCTAGGGCCCCTGCAAACCCAGCACAGTGTAGAGCACGCCCCCGGGCGCCATGGTGCAGGGCAGACTTGGCATACCTGCGGCCCGGATTTCTGGCATTGTGACCCTAATCAGGCCACGCAGGTAAGGCAGGCTCTGAGGGGGACCTGTTGAAATCCTGGGTAAGAGCTAGGTCTGGTGGCCTTAGCCCTTTCCAGGGGAGCCCCCAGCGGTGCAAAGAACCTCTGGAGTGGGGCCGAGTGGGCGGTTAGACTTGGGCAAACTTTGGGACAATCCATACTACCAGTGAGGGCCCACATAGTGTTTCAAGAAGGGAGAGATTTGAGAAGTGCATTTGATTAGAGTCTTGCAGAATGACTGGCATGGAACGGGGAGACGACTGTCCATGGGCAGGGACAGTGAGCAGAGGTGGGGATGTTCCTGGTCTGTTTGGGATTGGGGAAGGGGTGGGCCAGTTACTGCCTTTCTCCATGTCCGTGGCCCCAAGAGTGGCCCCCAGACCCCGCCACAAGAGCCTCACCAGAGCGGAAGCAGGAGGAGCCCTGTCAGGAAGCTCTGCTAACAGAGGGTGTTGCAAGCAGCCCCTGAGGAAAGCCCAGGAGAAGCAGAAGGGGCTCAGGAAGAGTAGTAGAGGCAGCAGATCTGGTGCAGGGGCGGGGGGTGGGTGGTTGGGGGGGGGAAGCGGGAGCATCCCAAAGGCACCCTTAATAAAAGGTTCCCCTGTAGGAAGCCCTTCCAGAGATGGGGCCAGGAAACAGTCTGGGAGCACAGGGCTTGGGCAAGTTGCTTCTCGGGTCCTCAGGCTTCCACCTGAAGCCTGTCGGGGACAAGGGGTCAGCTGTTGCCGTGGGGGCGGGGGCAGTTGTGCATGTTCAGTGATGGTCACGTACAGGGCTTGCATAAAAGTCACTTTTTTTTTTTTTCCCCACTCAAAATTGGTAAAGGCATTAACCCTGCAGCTGGGCTGGAGACATGTCTGCTTTGCCACTGCCCTGCTCTCCAGGAGCAGATGCTTGGAAGAAGAGAGGAAGAAAAGGGTCCTTAGGAACCCCAGAGCACAGAGTGTCTAGGACTACAGGCTCAGGGGTCTTTGTCTCCACCCCATGCCTGAGTTCAGGCCCCAGTCCGACCTGGACATCCAGCAAGCACCTCCAACACAACAGGTCTGCTGTGGAAGCTGAAACCTTGTCCCCGACTCAGGGATACCTCCAGTCTGCGCCCAGGCGTTAGGCTTGAAACTTGGGCCTCATCCATGTCATGAGCTGGCTTGCTCCCGCTCACCCCTGCATCACATGCCACCAAGTCCACTTCCTGATCCTTCCACTGCTCTTTCACACCTTCTCCCACCACCCTTCCCCCTCCCCCTGCCTAGGCCACACCATGCTCACTGGCTGTTGGCCTTTAGGGTGCCCTACCTCCTCCTGTTCTGCCCATCAGGAACTGGTAGGACTTTTCTGAAAGGCCCTTCCTGCCCTCTACTTTCTCCTCTGGCACTGCCAGGGAGATGGATTGTCCCTTGGCTTCACACCAGCAGCATGGCAGAATATGCCCTTGCAATGAATGGTCCCGAGGGGCCTGGGCAGGATGGTCTGACTGAGAGCTCAGCCCCACCACCAACAAACCTCTGCCGTTGGGGCTGGGGCTGTCCATGGGCTCCACGTCGTCATACAGCTCGTAGGCCTCGTCCTGGTCCCTGCGGGAATACCCGAGATAGGGGCCTCTTCCAAGCCTTCGACCTGCGCCAGGGCCCGCTTACTCCCCACACTCACTGCGGGATGTCTTCAGTCTGTCGGGCCTGGGAGTGGATCCCAGCAGAAGAACGGGTCCTCCTCAGAGCTGTGGAGGGATGAGAGCAGGAGGGAGGCAGGCCCTGCCAGGGAGCCTCTTCCCCAGCTTTCTGCCTGGGTTGCCCTGACCCACCTGCGGCTGTGGCTCTCCGGAAGTTCTGGACATCCCTGGGGCCAGGAGGCAGCGGCGGCTTGGCTGGAGGGGGTCCCAGGCTGCTGACTGGGGGCAGAGGCCTCCGCCGGGGTGGGTAGCTGGGTTTGAGGCCCAGCCTCGACCCTCCACTGTGAACGGGAACTCCTGACCTCTGCTGCCTGGCTCCAAAGCCAGGGCTGAGTGGGAGCCTGGGGCGGGAGGCAGTGACAGCAGCGGGAAGTGAGCTCTCTGAAACAGAGCCAGGAAGGGGGGGCTTTTTAGGGAGATCACCAAAGAACTCCGCGTGCAGGTGCTTCTTGGGCAGAGCACTGGACTCGGGCTGCAGAAACTTCTTGGGGAGCAGGCCAAACTCGGGCTCCGAGGACACTCTGGGGAGGCTCCCCAGCTCAGGCTGCAGGGGCTTCTTGGAGGGTGCTTTGAATTCAGACTGCCGTGGCCGCTTGGGAAACACACGGACTTCAGGCTCTGAGGACCTCCTGGTGAGGTCACCAAAATCAGGGTGCAGGAGCTTCTTGGGGAGGTCATTCAGCTGAGGGGCTGAGATCTTTTTGGGAAATGCATTGAAATTGGGCTGTGAGGAGTGGGGGTGGGGCTCACTGGACTCAGGCTTCCAGGGGGGTGTCTGAGGGACCTCACTAAACTCAGGCTGTGGCAGAGATTTTTTAGGGAGGCCACCAGCCTGAGGCTGCGGGGGTTTTCTGGGATGCACAGTGAACTCGGGCTGCGGGGGCTTCTTGGGAAAGGTGCCGAAGTCAGGCTGGGAGGGGTTTGGGGTGGCCTCATTGGGCTCAGGCTGCTGGCGCTTCTTGGGGAAGGCGCTGGATTGGGGCTCTGGCGGGGGCTTGGCAGGGTGGCCGGCCACAGGCTCAGGCTGCAAAGCTTTCTGAGGGGCCTGGAGCTGTGGGAACTTCTTGGAGGGTTCACTTGGCTCAGGTTTGGGGGGCTTCTTGGGCAGATCAGTGCAGCTGGGCTGCAGGGGCTTCCTGGGGTGCTCGCTTAGCTCAGGTGGTGGAAACTTCTTTAGAAGTTTGTTGAACTCAGGCTTCGGGGGTTTTTTGGGGTGTTCGCTGGTCTCAAGCTGAGAGGCCTGGAACTTTGCTTGAAGGCTCCGGAAGTCCTGATGGCTCCCCTAAGGGACATGGAGCCAGTCAGGCAGAGACTCACATAAGGGTTCTCCTAGCTCCTCTTTGCCACCCTTTGTCATTGGCTCCCTCTCCTGTTGGCTGGGCCTTCCACCTTTGTCTCCAGGCTCCCTGGAGTCCTGACCTCTCCACTTAGGCACTGCGTATGCCCCCAACCTCACCCCCATCAGGACCCAGGCTCCCAATACTCCCCCATAGCCTCTGCTTCCACAGTTGATGGTGCCTTCTAAGTGTCCTTGAGATACCCTGTGCTTTCATGCTCCACATCCCTAGTGCCTTCTGTTCTGATTTCAAAATACATCCAGAATCCAGCTACTTCTCACTGCCTGTACCACTGTCATGCTGGCTGGAGGAACCCAGGCTCCTCCCCGGTCTCCTGCCCCCCCGTCTTCTGCCTCCCCCTCTGCCCCCTGCACCCCCGTTCTGGCCAGGACCCTCCCCCACAGCAGCTGCAGGAAGCCCCTCTGCTCAAAATGTGGCAATGCTTCATTTCCCCATGGTAAAAGCTAAAGATCTCATGAAAGCCTTAAACCATCAATCTGCCTCCCTTACCCAGTTACCTGGGCCTGGCCTCCGCCTCTCCCCTGCTCTCCCCCCGCCCCCAACCCCTCTTTCTTGGGCCTTTGTCCGGCCCTTGCCTCTTCCACCTCCAGGTCTCTGCTGATACTTTATTAGAGAGGCCTTCCTCCCAGACCACCCTCATTTAAAAAAAATTGATTTCCCCTTTGCAGAACTCTCCAATCTCCCCAACCTACTTTTTTTCTCTCAGTACCTGCCACTATGTATCATACAGTTTATTTTATACGGTTTCACAAATGTGCCGTGGCTTGTTTGTTCTCTCTGCCCCCCTATCCCCTGTGGAAGGTCAGCGACTTGGCTCACTCATTGCTGTCCTCCCAGTGCATGGCACACTGTTGGTGCTCAGTAGATACTTGCTGAAATATATAGGATACAAAGGTGTATACTCAGCCACGTCCAGTCTGATTGTCACAGACTCATGTAGAAAGACGTGGAGAGACACAGACCTGGAGGCAGATGTGGGCTCAGAGTCTCATGGTCCCAGACACCCTTGTTGACGGTCAGGGCACTCACAGTCGAGAACACCCAGGAGAAGCGGCAAGCCGGCCCAAGCAGCGGCCCGGTCAGGCCTGTGCACCGTCTGTGGCGCACCTAGTCCGTCCCAGGTACCATCTCGACCGGCCCCATGCTCTCCGTAACAGACACGGGCGGGTGCACAAGTAGGCCAGGCCTGCTCTGACCAGGGGGCCCCACTGCAGGCCCCCAAGCCTGGCTTCACCTGGACCCTAGGAGACTGGGGAGGGGGAAAGGGCAGAACCGTGGAGACTGTGCTCCTGTCTGTGCCCCACCCAGAGAACGAGGAAAGGTAGTGATCCCCGCCTGGGGCCTGAAATGCCTCTATTAAAGCCCCGCTCCAGGTGGGTTGGGGGAAGGATTCCGGGGTCACCCACAGGACCAGAGAAATCAGGGTCAGCAGGTCATGTCTTGGGTGACTACTGGGGTGGGGGGTGGGTGGCGGGTACATGACCCACTTTGTCACCCGCAGGAAGCCCCTGTGTTCACCCTGGCCTCCTGTCCCCAGGTTGCTGCTCTTCATGGCTGACCTGGGAGGAGAGTAGTCTGGGCCATCTGCCTGTTCCCCCTATTAAAGTCCCAGCCCCAGCCTGGGCCACAGGCCCTTTGGGGCCCCAGCTGTCCCAGTGATGCATCCTGGCTGCTTCCCACCTCTGGGCCTTTGTGATGGTCCTTGCCATTTCCCGGGGGATGAGGGGGCTCTCCTAGGGTTGGGGGTTCACTCACCATGCTTGCAGGCGGGTGATGGGCCACAGGGCAAGTGGGACCTGAGCTGGGCCGGTGCCTTCAGGAAGTGACTGTGGCTTCTGCTCCCCGGGCCCCACGGGGGTGGGGGATGCTGGCGGGGTGGGGAGGACACAGGAGGAAGAAAAGGAGGCGGAGACAGCCCCTGCCTGTCCCCAGATCCTGCCTGGCACTTGAGTTCCTGTCCTGCCTGCTACTGTCTCCATGGTCTCCATGCTTCGTGCATCGGCTGTGAGCACATGCCCAATGTGGCCACCAGTTGTTTGTGTTTCTGGGGGCTGGCTGACTTCTGGTCTCCAGGGAGGACTCCGTGCCAGGCCCGGAGGGCCTCCTTGGGAGGGGGAGTTCTCTGGGGGTAAGGGGCATGGTCAGCTCTGGGCCAGGAGACTCAGGAGTTCGGAGAGCGTGATGGGTGAGGCCCTTCTGCCGGCTCGTTTCCTCATCTGCCTGCCTCATTTCCACACTTCCCCACTGTCAGATTCTCAGCTCTGAGCAGGACTTCCCTATTATAGGGGCAGATGTCACATGGGTCGTGGACAGCTGTGGGGGGCAGAGGGCCTAGCTGGGATGGCAGATTTGGGGGTGGGTGGGTTGGGTGGGTAGTAGCTAAGGCCTTGCCCTCCCCCACCCTGGGGAGGGAGGGAGTCTGAGGGCCAGGAGAGAAAATGGAGACAGCAGGGAGAGCAGTGAAGAGGGGGCGAAGGGGGTGGGCCGAACTAGCGCTGTGGGGGTGTGAGGCCCAGCCAGATAGAGGCGAGCCCTAACCACAGGACTTGGTCTGTAGGAGGTCAGTGACTTTGGACACAAAGGGAGAGTGCAGAGCCCTGACAAGTTTTAGCTATACATGGAAATAGCTTTAGGAGTTTACGAAAAGATGGAAGGAAGCTCCTGGAGATTCTGACTTAATTGGCCCTAGCCTGGGGATTTTTCTTTTTTTTTTTTAGTGACCTCTACACCCAACTCGGGGCTTGAACTCACAACCCCGAGATCAAGACTCCTACTCCTCTGAGCCAGCCAGGTGCCCTGAGCCTGGGGATTTCTTAAACACTCTGAGGGTGATTCTCATGTGCCCACGAGTCACCCTGAGACCCCATTAAAGTGCAGGTTCTGCCTCAGGTCTGTGGTGGAGCCTCAGATTTCTAAAGATCCCAGGTGATGCCCTGGAGTAGCGAGGGTGTAGAAGGATCCAGTCTGTCTTGAGGACACTGCATTCCCAGCTGGAGCTGTTCATTACCACCCTGCCATGAAGGCCACAGACCGCACAGTCGGAAAGGACTCTGCCTGTTTGTGTCCACTTTTAAGAGGCACAGCTTGAGGATTCTGGAGCCTCTGTGCCTGCCCATCCCCATCCCTGCACTATCAGGCATGCACCCTGGGTCACATTCCCAGATGTGGGTTCCCCTTGGAACAGGAGTCCTGGGAGACCAGGGATGGTGAGAGTGGGTCCTCCCTGGGTCTTTGGGACCAGCCAGCACAGGCTGGTCACAGGCTGACTGACCCAGTGTTTGGTGAATGAGGGAAATGAATGAATGAAACAAGTGATTATTGGCCAAGAGCATACAGTAGGTGCCCAATCAAAGTAAGCTAAAGGACTGAACGCTGGTGACAAGCTGGTGACTTCCCAGGCTCCAAGGCCAGCCACCCCATGTGAACCACCTCCCCATGGCCTGGAACTCGCAGTTTGGAGGGTCCCATCCTGGCAAGCCCTATTCCCCCACGGTCCCCAGGAGGTGTTCCCTCCCGCCCCCCCCTCCACTCCCCTTTGTGTTTAGAGCCTTCCGGGTGGCTCTGGGCTGGACTGCAAAGTGTGGCCATGAACTTGGGCAGGAGGTTCCATAGATGGAGTTGAGGAACCTGAAGCCTGAAGTGAGCCCGGGCCAGGGTCTGCCTTGGGGTTTCAGTGGGGGTGGGGGTGGGGAGTGTGGGGAGGTGTTCGCTTCAGGAGCCTGTGGAACAATGGGCTAAGGAGGGGTCCCGGGGTTCTGAGCACATGGGGGGCTGGTGAGCCAGAGCAGGCGCAAGAGCAGGGGCATGCACCTGGTTGCCCTGGTCATGGTTGGGGGACAGACACGGTGGTGGTCTCCACGCTCAGCCACATATGGTCCAAGTGCACGCAGTCGAGGACTGAGCACGTGGGCAGCCAATCCTAGGGGTCAAGGGGCGCACAGAGGAGCTGGGGTCCTGGGATGGGGGTGCTCACGTCCAGGTCAAAGGCAGGGCTCTGGGACGTGCACCCAGGAGCCTTATTTTCCCTCTCCCAGTCTGGTGGTGATGGGGCTGGTGCTGGACAACTGCCGGACGGGTACATGGCCGGACTCAGCTGACGTAAGCTGCCTGGAGAGGCTCGGCCTCTTCAGCGCAAACCTGCAGTCTCTTATCAACCAGCCCCCCATTGGGCCAGCTGGGCAAAGTGGATGACTGCCCTGATCCGCTGGCTGGTCCTTCCATCTCCCTTCAAGACTTGACACTCCTGGGCGCCCTCTGCTGGGCGGAGCTGAGGCCGAAAGGAGACTTGGCGGTCAGGCTTTTTGCAGTCAGGGGAAGGGGGGCCCTCTGAGGGATCACTTTGGCCAGAGGGAGGGCAGGGGCTGCGGAAGCCCGGGAGAGACACTGGGAGCAGATTTCCCAGTTAAGCTGAAAAAGTTGGACATGAGTTGGGAGGGGGCAAGGGTAGGAAGTTGCTTTTGGAGTGAGCAGGGTGCCTAGGCCAGGTCATGATCCAGCTCCTTAGGCCTCTGGGCAGTTTCAGGTGCTGGGCCGGGGGAGGGCAGGGGACACGGTCTCCTTGGTAGAAGCTGTTGCATGGGTGATGGGGTGGGGTGGGGTACCTGGGCCAAGATCCTGGCTCTGGGACTCTCTGGAAAGGTCCTGACAGACTGGGAAGTGGCATTGCCTGGATTTGGGGGTGGCTGAATGAGGGGGCCTGATGGGGGAAGGGCCTCTGACACCTTGGAGACAGGTTGGGGTCCTGGGGGAGAGGGAACCCTGAACCCTGTCCCTGGAGATGTGGGAAAAGGGGAGGTGCCATTTGGGCCTCACTGCCTGGGTTTTCTTACAGATGGGAACCTTTCCCAGCTTCTAGGGTGGTACAGAATCAGTGAGGGGACTGGAGCTGGGCTTGGCTCAGTCATCCTACCCTCCTAGCCTCACCTTTAGCTGTAAAATGGGCCCCTTGATCCCACCCCACTTCCTTCCTGAGTTCCTTGTTGGGGGGTGTTCCAGGCAGCCATGGGCTTGGTAGCCAGGGGGATGTGAATCACCACAAACATTTCTCAGGCCCCCATCCTCTCTCCCCAGTCCCTGTTTGAATCTTCACAAGGACTCCAGAGGGTAAGCATCCTGACACCCATCTTAAGGACTAGCAAAGTGAGATGCAGGGAGGTTGAGTCTTCTCCAGGGTCACAAAGTCCTAGCTCCAAGGCTCCTGGCTGGGAAGAGGAAAGCTCAGGGGGCCTGAAGCCCCAAGGTCCCCTGATGGCCCTGTTGGCCCGACAGTGGGTGCTGAGCAATACCTGCCTCAGCACGGGCCCGGAGGTGCTGGCAGAACAGACCCCTGGCCTGAGCCAGCTGAGTCTCAGCTTCAACTCGGCAATGACTGCAGTCCTGAAGCCCCGCGGGTGGGCCCCTGGGTGCAGGTGGGCCGGTCCTAAGGGCACTCAGATCAGCGCTCCCCTTTCAGGAAAAGCAGAAGGGCCCCTGGAGCTTGGAGCTGTTCAACTGCAAGGAGGCTGGGGAGTTCTTGCTCATAGACGGTCTGTGTTCCCCAGGAAGAGGAGGATGATGAGAGGGATGAGGGAGGGGGTGGGGACGTTCAAGATGGAGCCCTGTAGGTTATTAGAACAAGGTCTCCACTACCAGGCAGTAATGGGAACAGACCCATTTTCTGTGGTGGTCAAACTGGGGGGAAGGGCAGGAAGGGTTGCTTCAGGTACCTGAGGAGGGGGAAGAGGGTCAGGGGCCTAGGCTAGGGGACCCTGGGGCTGGAAGGGAGCAAGATGCAGGAGGTAAAACTAGCTTCCGAGGGGTGGCTGCCAACAGCATGCGTCGACTTCCACGTTCAGGAGGCTTGGCCCACCGGGTTTGGTGACAACAGGGCTGAGACAGCAGTGTGGCCCCAAATTTTGAACCCTGACCCAGGACCGATTTCCCATGACAGAAGGGAAAAGGAGATCCTCATGGCTGGAGGACAGAGAGGGGAGGGGTGAGGAGGGAGGGAGCCCAGGCTCCCTAGGGCTGGCTTTGACCCACCCTCCTCCTCAGAGCCCACATCGGGACAGAAGTGAAAGCAGGCAGCCAAGGATGAAGGTCTGGAAGACAGTGACGAAGACAAAACCAGAGCCCCTGGGGGCCCTGGCACCAGCACCTCAACCCTGCCACCTGCGAGTCTGCACTGGCTTCAGGATTACGGAGGGGGGGCGCCTCCAGCAGGGTCAGCCCCAGCACTTTCTCAGGACCCCCTGTCTTACTGACTCCTGGACTCCTTAAATAAAAGCGATGTTTCCATCCCATCTGGTTTCTGGAAATGGGACAAGAGGCACTGGCAGCCCCAACTACAGCTGGATAGGGTAGCACTGGGCTGGAGACCTGGGTCCCAGTTGTTAAAGTGACAGGGGAGTAGTGAGGTTGAGGGGAGGCTTGTCCCCTCTCAGGGTGTGAGCACCCCAGGACTGCTAGACCGGCCGGCTGTGCATCGGAGGGGCAAGGGACCCAGACACAGCACGGGCTGGCTCATCGCGCCTGCTTTATTGCCTCCCCACCCCCTCCATCTTAAGTCCCATTAAAATTACAAAACTACCCGCATCCTACAGTCCAGTCCCCCCCTTCCTCCCCCCGCCCCCCCCCCCCCCCCCGCGGCGGGATTCAGAACGGCGAGAAAACCGGACACTCCCCCTCTGACAGCAGCGGAGACACCTTGGGTGCAAGCGGGACCGGGTCTGGGTGGGGCAGAGGAGGGGGCGCCTGAGCCTCGGCCCCGCCCCTCGCCTCGGGGCCCCCGCCCTCCCCCCCGGAGCGCTCCTCCGCCTTACCCGCCGGCGCGTCGGGGCGCGGCTGCCCGGGCCCCGGGGCCGCGGGGGCGATGGGCCGGTGGTCCTCCAGATGCAGTGTCATGGCGGGCCGCGAGGCCGTGGAGAAGGCGCACTGCATGCACGAGTAGCGGCCGCGCGTGTGCTCCCACACGATGCGGCTCGGGGCCGCGTGCCCTGCGGGCAGGCGGGACCCCGTCAGTCCCGGCCACTCCCAGGGACGGTGGACGTGGACGAGTGCGGGTCAGACCTTTCCCCGCCTCCCCATCAGCTCCCGAGCACCTGGCTGGTCTGGCCTGGCTGATCCATTGCTCCCGAGCGTGTTCCCTCCTGTAATTGGGGGGGGGGGGGGGGCACTAAACTTGACTTATCCGAATCCCCCACTCCTATCCCTGGAACCACCGCAGGGGGAAAGGACTTGTGAAGCGGGCGCGGGTTTTACACGGAAACGCCGGCGCAGATGAAGGCTCAGGGGCCAACAATTTTTAAGGCAAAAATCGTGTATTTCGGGGGTGGCAGCTCTGGCCACCTGGGAAGGGGCGGGCAACGCTGCCTCCCAGCATCCCCTGGGCCCAGCAGGGCGCAGGACAGAAAAATCCCCTCCACCCCTCCCTGGTGGTCACCTGCACGCACCTGAGGGCGCGTCGGAGCCGCCCTGGGGTCTTCGCGGGCTGCCGCCGGCACCTGAGATAAACGGGCGGGTGAAGGTCAGAAGTCTGGGTGAGCCCAGCTCACCCTTCGGGCGGCCCTGCTCCCACACTCACCTTGGCTCTTTTTCCAGATTGCGGCGCTGGAGGCGGGCGGCCCGGGCGCCGCGGCCAGGAAGGGGCGCAGGCGTGGGGGACTTAGGCCAAAGGGCGCGGGGTTCAAGTAGGGCAGAAAGGGCCCGGTGGGGGCAGGGGCGGGGGTCGTGAAGGGCTCGAGCAGCGGGAACGGCAGGCCCGGCGCCGACACAGTGTCGGACTCCGGGGGACGCTCGGGCGCCGGTGGCTCCTTGTCTAGGGCTGGGGGTGGCGGCGCGGCTGGGCTCTGCGCATGCTCGGCGCAAACATGCAGATGCTTGAAGAGCGAGCGGTGCGTGCGGAAGCGCAGGAGGCAGTTCTCACACCTGGGGGCAGGCACAGGGCTGGGCTGGGTCTCTTGGGGGACGAGGGTAGGGCCTATCCGATGCTACCTGGGGAGGCGCGGCGCGAGGGTGGTAAGTAAGGGAGCCTAAGGCCCAAATCACAGATTCCCCACTTGCGGGGCGGGGGGAAGCTTGCTCTAAGCGCCCCCAAATGTGGCAGCGACCCTTCCGGACCCCTCCGGGTCCTTGCCCTGGGAAAACGAGGAAGGAAGTCTCAATTTTGACTTAGACGGCCAGTTTTCTTCTAGGGAGGTCAGGAGGGACTGGGCGGAGACGCACCACGTATGCCCCGCCCTTTCCGAGCTCCGCCCTCCGGGTCTCTGGGACTCGTTCCAGTAACCAGTCTCTCTTTTTGGGCAGGTAAGGGCAGGGCTTGCCCGAGGCCACGCCCACTGCCAGACTCACCACCTCCCCCCCCCCCCCCCCCCGACCAGGAAGGACCCCCCAGATAGTGGCAATCAAATCAGGGGTGGAAGGAGCTGCCAGAGGCCTGATCACGGAGCACCAGTGGAAGTCGGGATAGTAAGGGTCTCACTTGAAGTAGCGGTTGGGTTTGTAGTGCAGCTTGCCATGTGCCACCAGTTCCTGCATGCTGGGGAAGGTCTCGGTGCAGCTTAGGGCGGAACAGTGGAAGAGCTTGCCTGGCAGGGCAGGGATGAAGGACAGAGTGGAGAGGGGTGGCCAAGGCCGGCCTGGAGGCTCTGCCTGCCTCCCACCCCAAACTGCCTCCGCACCACCTACTCTGGCCCTACCTTCCAGGGACTGTGTGGGTGGGCAGTGGGTACGCAGATGCTGTGCCAGATCACGAACACTGGGGAAACTGAGACAGCAGCCAGGGCTGGAGCAGGGTATCTGCTTCCCTGCAGGATGCACAGAAAGGGGGGTGTCACCCACTCTTCCCCCATCCACGCTGTCCAGAGTTCTGCCCCAGAAAGGCATATATGAGGCTGGAATTACTCTACTGGTTTCTTACCAGGGCCTTTACCATCTTCTTCCCCCACCAGACAGCGCTGCCAGAGGACAGGCTCATCACTGTAGCCACAGCCTGGCATACACTTGGTGCTCAGTAAATGGTGATTCCCTCTTGATGGGGCCCAAGTTTGGAGATACTCTGTACTCCTCTCAATTGTTCCAAGGCCTGTGACCACCCCCAGAAGGCTCCATCACATATCACCTGGTTGTTGGCGTCGTCTGGGAGGCCTCAGGTCCTCGCTGGTCCCAGAGACTGTGCTGGTGGGGCCAAGGCTGGATCCGGGACCAGGCTGAACACTGTCTGGGGCAGAGGGGGCACCCTGCTGGGTCCCTCCAGGCCCTCCTCGGTCCCACGATGGGGGTGTGGCTGCCCGTTCAGGGCCTGGCTCCTCCCCCATGGAAGAGGAGGTGGCTGCTGCGGCCACAACTGGGGACACCACCTCCTTATCAGTCTCACTGAAGCTGGGCTCTGCAGCCGCCGGCATGTCCGGGCTGGGCCCCGAGGGTTCCTCCTCCTAGTGGAAGGAAAAGGCAGGGAGAACCCCTCTGGGCCAGCCAGGGGAACCCCTCCCACCCCGCCAAGACCTTTGGACATTCCTGAAGCAGCGAATGCCTTTGAGAGAAATCACCTGGTCAGCCCCCATCCTAAGGAGTCACCATCAGGGGAGGGCAGGGGATAAGGGTGGATTGAGCCTCCTGTGTTCCAATCTCCGGGAGGGAGCCGGGGGGTGTCCCAATTGCAGAAGGGGGTATCTGTCAGGAATTACTCCTATGAAAGTAGCAGTCCTTCGTCCCTAACTTGGGACAGTGGGACGCCCCTTACACGGCAGGGGCGTGGCCTAAGGGGTGTGGGCGGGACGAAGGTTACAAAGACGGGGCTCCGAACAGGGCGCCGCTGGGAACATGCTGGAGGGGCCAGAGGGATCAAGTGGACTGTTTGCGGACGGAAATACATACACGGCCCGGCTCGAGCTGTGCGGTCGAACCCGGAGGGCCTAGGGGCCCCGATGTGTAAGGAACAGGGGCGGAGCCCGAGTCCTGTAGGCGTGGCCCAGTCGAAGCTGGGCCAGGAAGCCGGGGGTGGGGTGTTCCCCAAGTGACAGCCAGCGACGGGAGAGTGCCCGGATGTGGGGGCGGGGGCGGCCGGAGGGTGCGCGTGCGACAGGGCCGCGCCCCGCCAGTACCCGCTGGTTCGCCGCGCCCGCATCCCCGACGCCGCGCTCACCATCCTCGACCCGGCTCAGCCTCTTATTCCTGCGGCTGCGGCGGCTCCGGCTGAGACTGCGGCGACTCCCTGGGCGGCCGCGGGCTCGCGCTCACGTCGACGCCATTTTCCGCCTCCCAGATCTCGCGAGAGCGCGGGCAGGGCCTGCGCACAGCGCCCCTCGAGGGGGCGGGGCCTGAGTCTGGGTCCTCCAGGAGGAGAGCTCTGTAGGCGGTGCTGCAGGTTTGCAATCCCAGACCTATCAAAGAGTGCACCTTTAAAGACCCTGTGCTCAGAGATCCTGGCGAAAAATCCTTCGGGGCCTCTGTTCTCGTCTGCTAAATGGGTATCTTTATGCCCTCCCGTCCCATCACCAGCTCTCAGCCGCTCTCTTTTTTGAAGAGGTGATGTTGATTGGCCCGCCTTTTTGGAGAGAAATTGGCAGTGATCGTCAACATTGTCAATGCACGGAGTTCTGAAGTTGGAATAGGCTCCCTGTGATAGCCAGGGGCAGGAAGCAAGCTGTCTGTCCTCCGGACAGGTGCAGCCTAAGGATGGAGACCCCTGGCTGGACCCGCGTGGAATAAGTCACCTATCCATCCGACATTCCTTGAGCGCCTACTGTGTGCGAGGCGTTGGGGACCCAGAGGGGAACAGGACAAACATCCTTGCCCTCAGGGGCCTGCTCACATTTTAAAACGGGGGAAACAGACAATGAGTCAACACATGCAGAAAACCACCTTAGGGATATTAAGTGCTACAAAGGAAAACACACACAGAAGGCAGAGAAGTCTCTCTTGAGTTGACTTTTGAACTGTTACCTGATGGTCAGGAAGGAGTGAGCAAATGGAAGGTCAGGGGACTCTGGAAAGTGGATAGCTGTGCAAATGTCCTGAGGTGGGGAGGGACAAGCTTCTCAAGGACCAGTAAGGAGATCAGCTCACTGCTGGAACAGAGTGGAGGCAGAGTGTGGAGGTCAGTAAGTGAACTTGGTGCAGGGAAGGTCACACAGGACCTCATGAACCATAGAGAGGAGTGCGGTTTCTATTCACATCATTGATGTATTTTTAGCAGGGGTAGGTCCACCATCTGATTCTTGGCTGTTGTTTGGAGGATGGGCAGTTGGGGGGATGGTAAAGTGGATCTTTGATCTCAGGTCTCTATAATACATTATTTAACATTCAAGAGGTGTCTGTTGAGTTCTGAGTAAGTATAGACTTTATGTGCAGTGTATTTCCATCTGTGTACATAAGATATACCTATGTGCCTTTATATGCGGAGAATACCATTAGAAGGAGACATTTAAAAAGTGGGGAGGGGAACAGAGATTTTCAAGTGAGGGAGAGACTGTCTTTTCATACTTTGTGCTGTTTGAATTTAAAAAAACGTGGTTTTGATTATCATTAATACAGTTAAAAACTCATTAATCTAAAAAAAAAAAAAACCGGATCGTTTGACGCAGGGTGGAGGTGTGTTTGTGTGTGGAGGGGAGGTTGGTGCAACCTGGGGAAGGGTGGGGTGAGGCCTCAGAAGGACATGGACCCAAGGAAGGGAGAGGAGGGGCCAGGCTTAAGAAATTCTATAAGTCAACAGGATGTGGGGCTGTGGAGTAGGCAGGGCCAAGGTGATTCTGAGGTTTGCAGTCTGAAGATGCTGTAACCTAGATGTGAGGCCCAGAAAGCCCTACTTCCTGTAAATGGGGTGACTGCCATGGCAGTGGGGCCCTGGGACTGTACCCCAAAATGTCAGGGGGCAGGCAGCGTGCATGGTGAGTTCAAGGAGAGAGGAAGGAGGTGGAAGCCCCAATTCCTCTTCAGCACCAGGAAACGCCCAGTTGATGAGATTGGTGGCTCATGCACTTCTTCCCCAGCCTGTCCTAATGTCTAAGTGTTGCAGAGAGAGACATGCACAGTGGTGGTTGGGCAGTGGAGGGGCGAAAATCAGAGATGGAGGAAACCAGGGACATTCAAGGGACTGGTTAAATGCTTTTGTGTAATGATTGGCTAATAAAAGAGTTGTTGAGACCCAGTTGCAACCTTGGGATTTTTTTTGGCCACGCTCAGCTTCCCAAAGCAGGGACAGAAGAGAGAGGGTTCAGATCCTGCAGAAGGTGCTGCTGGCCAGTCTTTCTCTGATACCTCATCTCCCATCCTCCAGTTGGGTAGGTGACCTCTGCTTGGAGTTCTCCTGTCACAGCGTGGATCGCTGTATGTGGTGTTTGCCGAGTCAGGATCTGCTGACCCCAAATCCTTTTCTTCCTTCTTGGCTCCTCCAGCAATGCCCACTCTCTCTCTGCATCCCCTTCCCCTGCCCCAGCCCCTGTCCCTTCTCTGGCCCAGTCCTGACCCCACCAATTTGGCTGTGTCTCTCCCAGACTGGCTGCTCTTTGAGGGTCTGAGCCCAGAGTGAGTGTCTGTTTGGAAAGTTGGAATACTTAGGCTCAGACCATGGCGGGATCCGCAGCAGTTCCAGCTGCATCTGCAGGGAGTTCTGAAAGGCTCAGGCTCCATCACTGGCTTGGAAACATCTGGGGAGTCCAGTGGCCAGGCTGACCCCCTAAATCCATGACAATAGATGCAGAAAGCCAGGGCCCTTACATATCAGAACTGGTTCTGACCCCAGGTGAGTGAGGGCTAAGAAAGCACAGACATGGGGGTGGTGGTGCAGGGGCCAAGGGTGGCCCAGGCTGGATTGTGAAGGACCATGTGGGACCTGCCTCCTTCCTCAGGGTCCAGTCAGGTCCTGGATGGGTTTGGGGGCTGCAGATTCAAAGCTAACAGGACCCACCAGACTATTTTCTGCAGGAAGGCCAGGATGCAAATGGCCAAGAGTGGGTGAGTGGGCAAGTGGGACAAACACCAGCTTTGGGAGATGTGGGGTGGGGGTATATACGAGTTCAAGGCTTGGCTCTGTGGGATCTTGGGCAAGTGACAAAACTTCTCCCGGCCCCCAGTTTTGCACCTGCAATGGGGTATTTGTGGCTTCTCCCTCAGTGTTTGGTTAGCGCTCAGTAAATTTAATTCACACTTTCACCTGGCAAATGTTTATTGCCTCAGTGATGACAGAAGAAGGGGAGTCTCACTTGTCAAGGTGCCCCCAACTGTGCTTGGCACTTTGCCGACAGGACACAACTCATTTATACTCACAAGGCAGCTGGGAGGTAGATTCTGCTGTTAGCCCTGTTTGACACAGGAGGTGTGTGACATGGGGGATGCCAGGGCCCTGGGGTGGCTGCAGTGGTGACCCCCAGACCCAGACCCAGGGCCTGGGCTGGGCTGGGCTGGGCTGGAGGCCCCAGGACTGGACCTTCTGGCTAATGTGGCCAAGGAAAACCAGGCCCTGGCCGGCAGGGCCTGGCTCCCTGGCAGGCAGGGCCTGGCTCCCTGGCAGGCAGGCAGGAGGCCGAATCCAGGCCCCCTCTCAGATCTTCTCCACGTAGTTTCCTGGGAAGAGGCCCTCCTGGCCATGCAGCCGGCCTTTCCACCAGCCCGAGGAATCTGTGGGTGAGAGGGGAGTGTGAGGCGGTGTGCGGCCCACCCAGGAGGAAGCCTTCATGTGGCTCCCTGCCTGTTTTATTCATCGCCACGCCATGACCCCTCTGGGACTCCCCACTTACCCGCAGAGGATGCTGCTGAGTCCCAAGCCCCTCTGGGGTGGGCGGGCAGCCCAGGGGACTAAGGTAGGAAGGTGGCCTGGGCCATCCAGACACGACTGACCCATTTTTACTCATAAGGGGTCTCTTTGAGGTGGGTTCTGCTATTAGCCCTGGGCTTGACAGGAGAGAAAAATGAGGCCCAGGGGACTGGGCATGCTGCTGTGAGGCCAGGCCCCCAGAGAGCCTTAGGAGGGAACCTCCAGACCCAAGGCCTTCTAGCTTATGCAGCCACTGGCCCGGAAGAGAGTATCTCTGGTGGGGGCTGGTTGCTTCTGTTCTCTTCCGGAAGGGTGTGCAGGAATGGGGGGCTGCCCAGCAGGGTTCTGACTCCTCCCCCCTCTGCCCTGGGACACACACCTTCCATGAGGATCTCAATGACCTCGTTCACGTTGAAGCTCAGCTCGTCCACATCTTGGCCCACATACTGGTACAGTGCCCGGCACCGCGGGCCATGCGTCCGAGGCTGGGGCTTGGGTCGGCCCACGCCCGGCACAGGTCGCTGCCCCACACTGCGCTTCCTCTGCATGCTGTGGGTACAGGGAGCGCTCGTCAAGGCCCAGACACTCCCCTGCCCCCTGTCCACCTCCTGGGGCTGCCCTCTTTCATCACTTACCCTGCCACACCCTGGTCAGGTACGTTAAGGAATTCTGTGTTGTGCTCCGAGGGGGGCCGTGCCCGGGGGCGCCTGCTGGCCCTCAGGGCTGAGGATGGAGGGCCCCGGAGAGGCTGCTGGAAGCCCCCTCCAGATGTGATCTCCAGGGGCAGGGGCCCCCTTCTGGCAGAAGGAGTCACTCCATTGTGGTCCAGGCCTGTGGCAGGAGCGAGAGTTGGGGCATTTATCAGGGTGATGGTAGGAGGATTTGGGGAGGACTTAGCTCCAAGATCCCAGTCTGAGGGGGGAGGCAGCCAGTCACATGCTCAACCCAGCATGGTAGGGACTGGCCCAGAGGGAGTCTCTGCAGGGGTAAGATTTCCACCATCCTCTTCTGTAGGAGGGCTTTTGTTGGTGGGTCTTGGAGGATGAATGGGAGCTCAAGCTAAGTGGGAATTTGGGAGACAAGAGGAGCAAACAGCCCAAGCAAAGGCTTGGAGATATGAACAAATTTGTTAAGTTGGCAGAATAAGATCTAGCTTGTGTGACAGGAGTATAAGATGGAAGAAGAGAAGAGGTTGGTGGTTAGCTGGGTTTGGCTTCTGAAGGGCTTTGAATATCAAACTAAGCTTAGTCTGTATTCTGTGGAAGAGGGGGAGCTGTGCAGAGTTCTATCTGTTGACAGCAGGCATGGCTTGGGTCATGGAGCACACACGAGGCAAGGGAAGACACATCTCCTCACCTCTGGGAGGCCCAGGGGCTGCCCGGGTAGGGGCCTGGACTGGCCTTCGAGGTTTTCCCCGGGCCATTCCCTTCCGTGTAGGCTCTGAAAGGGGAAAGGACATGGGAATTTGAGCAGTGACCAGACCACAGCAGGCTCTTGGCCCCGCCC